TTCAAAATATAAATGCATTCCAAAACTATAAAACAAAGACTCCTGCATCTAGCTGTCCCTCAGCCTGATACACAAGAGGAGCTGAGGGCCACTTTCACACCTTCACCCAGCATTGGGTATAAAATAGATTAAACATAGGGAGATATGAACACTAAGAAAATATATCTGACAGTAGAGAAGAGAGTCAGTATAAAATATTTATATCTGAAGCCATTTAGTGAAGGATCAAACAGCTAGAACAACTAGCTAAGTCTGGGTGGCACTATGAAGAAAAAGTTAAATTCCACTTAGTGGGCTACATGATGTAGCAGCAGTTTCTAGGCCATGGTCATTGGAGATGTCAATGAGGTAAAATCTGAAAAACCCTATAGCCCCAGAAATAGGAATGCAGGCGAGGAACTGATCAGATAGATGGTATAAAGGAGTTAATCATAGCAAATGACCTCAAGTAATTCCTCAAGTAATTTTTTTCTCTCAAGGATTCTGGGAATTTGGTGGTGATGGCAGTAACAGCATAGTTCTTTTTATCTCTCTGAATCCTTCCATGGAAACAGAGCAACCATATATCAAAACTGAAAACCCATGAATATATGCAACAAACATGTTCATAAGGTATTCCTCTAACCCTAAAATACAAATGGGTCAGAACAAAGCACAAACAACCAGGGCCTGCATAGTGTTAACAACGAAGCAAGAGAAAGGTGAGAAAAGCAACAGGCTGCCTTACAAACCTGAGAGCAGGAGGAACCCCAAATAGCTAACAGCTATTTGCTGGAAATGACAGAAAGCCGATGTGAGAGCCCTTTGCCCAGTTCAGTGGCCTCTGAGTACAAACGGTCCATGGTAAGATCTGAAGCAACGAGTGCAGTCTGGCCACCACGCCTCCTTTCCAGGAAGGGCCCCCACTGGAAAAACATTTCTGGAAGCGAAATCAGTATTTAGTAATACAAGGATCATAAAAATAAATAAATAAATAAAAGGGTTTTCAGGTAAAAGTATGTGGGGTGGGAGGTGTGAAACAGCCAGAAACATTAGGAAGCAAACTGGCATATTTTTAAACACTATATATTTTTAAAATAACAAGAAATATAAAGGAAGTTCTGTGAAGTTGGAACATCTCCTGAATCCTGAAAGTCCTAGAAACTAATTTTATATAAAAATGTATAACAGAAATATCAAGATTAAATCACATACAAAATTACAATAAAAAAGTTTAAAGAGTATAGAGGATAGAATAACAACTGGACAGAAAAATGAAAGCATAACAAAAATACATGCCTACAGAAGAGCTCAAAATTATGACCTTCTATTTTAAACTGAGATAAATGACCATAAAACAATAATATAAGACATGAAAAATAGCATGTCAATATTAGAAAACATAAGAGACCAGGTGGTAGAATCAGAAAAGAATGTAAAATGAAAGGAAAAAAAAATAATTCAGACATGAAAACTAAATTAGGAAGCAATTCAAGAGCAAAAAACACAACATTTAATGCCTTACAAGAAATAGAAGGAAAAAAGAGAAATGTTTAAAAAATAAAAAAGATGACATTCATCAGAGCTAGACAAAGAAGATGCAACATACCGATAACAGGAATGCCTGAAGACAGAAACCAAAGAAGTTGACCATAAAGAATGGTGTTGTATACATTATGGATGATGAATGATTATATTTACTTGGATTTTGGTCCTGGTTTGATGTAATGGGATCTATACTGGTTATCAGAATGGTTTGATATACCACAGGTCCCATGAAGTTCAACTTAGTCAACAGATAAGGGTAAATTTCAGTTCCAAGGATCAGAATCAAAATGGTACAAAACAGTACAAAAAGGCCCTAGCCCGTTTGGCTCAGCCCCAGCCTGGGCCCTCATGGGGGAGCATGCAAGAGGCAACCAATCAATGTGTTTCTCTCGCATCAGTGTTTCTCTCTGTCTTTCTCTCTCTCTTCCACACTCTCTGAAAATCAGTGGGAAAAAATATCCTCAGGTGAAGATTTTTTTTTTAATGGTACTAAAGGTTTTCATGAGCCTTTGAGTGCTCTTTTGTGATACAACCCCCTCGGCATTCAGCATGAGGCAGATCCTCATTATTGCGATTAACAGCCATAGTTGAGAACTTATTTTCTTTTGTATCGTGCTTTATTTCTTTGCATTCAGTTGAGCAGACAAGATGGCTTAGCAACAGTAATAAAACCAGTACAATCACTGGTTTTTCAGCATTGTGCTGTGTATTACTAATTGATTTGTTTTTTCTTAGAGGGTTCTGCAATATACTTAAAATAAAACCCAGGGCTTAATGGATTTTTCTTTACTCACGTGTCTATAACCAATCAGTATTTTGATGTTTGTGAGTTCTTTATACAATTTAGATGTGAGTGAATATTAAACTAGGCTTTCAGTGTGTGGTTAAAAAAAAAAAAAAAGATAAATGATAAGTAAGAACAAGATAAAACTCCATAAATGAGTTTTAACACAATAGTTTTTTGTTTTGCTTTTAAAGTAAGAAAGGAGGGCAGAGCCAGCCTGCCTTCCTCCCCTGCCTCCAATCCAGGCTCCTCCGTGCTGCCATTTGATCCTCTCTAATGCCAGATGTTGCCCTTTGCTTAGGTCATAATATAATGCCAACAGGAAGTCTAAGTAGTAGGTATTCTTAGGGTAGGGTGCCAAGCCCACACCTTTAGCTCTCTTTCTCAGCACACACATAAGGGGAAATATTTATGTTGTTATATTACGTTACATTAGGTTATGTTAGTCTCAAAAAAAGGTATACACACTTTAAAAGCTGATAGCTCAATTTTTGAAATGAAACGTATTTTAATAAACACTGCCCTTATTGTGTGTATATATTTTTGGGACACCCTATTATATCATACTTGTCTGATCAAATGAAATATATATTCATATATATAATTTGTAAATTATATTTATTTACAAATTATGCCTCTACCCAGATTGATGAGGCTGAGGCTGTCACCAAACCCAGGCTGCTTGCTGTAGGCACAGACTGGGCCTGAGAATAGACTAGAGATGATGGGAGGTGTAGATTTCTCAACTCCCTGCACCTGACCTCATCCCCAACCCACTAAGTTTAAATTTCTAGGAGCTGCTGGCAGAGATCTATTCACATTCACAGACACTCCCATCGCCATATTTCCTATTCGTTACAATAGCACCAGCCTTGGGTGTAGGCAGGAGTCATTGACACAACTCACATGTTTAGAGTTTTGAACTTTACAATGACCTTTCATACCCCCTTGCTTCCTTTAATTCTAATGCCAGTGCAGCCCCTTTTACAGATGAAGGAACTCGATCCAGGTCCCCACAGTTAGTAAGTGATAAGAATAGTCCAAACTCAGGTGTCCTTGCCGATTTCAAAGCCTGTGTCCTTTCCATTTCAAACAGCCCACTCCCCCAGGTCCCCACCTCCCCACACACCCCCACCCCCACCTCCACCCCCAGCACAGCCCACACATAAGATTTGGGCAAGAGAGCCCCTCTGCTAAAATGCCTTCAGTAAAGAGTTACAACTTGGAATTAACAGGTTACCCCTTAATAATACAAATAGATCAGAAAATTAACATTCAGCCATTCACACCAAAGAATTCATCAACTTCTTGCCCTTGAAACAACCTTCAGAAACCAGACAGAAATCAACATCTTCACTTGAAAAACAATGAAGTCTGGAAAAGTGTTGGGAGGCTGCATGCCTCTTTGGTCTCGGGCCTGGGGCCAGAGCAGTGTCTCAGAGCCCGCCACATCTGGCCCAGGTTTCAGATGACCATCACTGCCCAGTGTGAGCCCAATCTGATCGCCTGTAGTTGGTAGCCCAAACTAATCTTTCATTTTTGCATCATTAAGTAATTTGAAAGTTTCCCCCAAAAAAATTTACTTCAACAGTTTTAGTGAACAAAACTATATATGCCCAAATTAATCTTTCCATAATTTCCTATAGGTAGGCTTTGACTTAATCTCTTTAAAGGGAAGTAATTTCTTTAATCTTACAGTGACATTTTTTGTATTTGAAGTCAAAGCCGTTTATCAAGAGCACAGTATTTTAAAGTTTTTATAGGTTATAAAAATGTTAGAATTCCAGCCAACATGAGATCTGACTCATAGGCAGAAAGTGTGGAAGGAGATGACCCAGTGGCGGTGGAGAGGTGGGGTGTGCTGAGTGACCCAGAGATGCCCCAAAGGTCATTAAGGACATGGGGTGCTCCAGGCAGTGACAAATCCCAGGCAGTGGCGAGGGGCTTAGAAAAAGAGGGCAAGCACCAAAAACAATGTGACCCCCCAAAACCAAATGAGGTTCTCTTAGGCAGCTCTTAGGCACTCAACCTGGAAACTGCTGTTAGGGTCAACTATGTGTCAGGCCCTGGGTCAGATGAGACATGGTCAGGTAGATGGAGCTGACACGGACCCTGGCACTAGGAAGCTCAGAGCCTACTAAGGGAGACCAAAAAGGAGGTCTAAAATATGTTTTTAAAAATAACCAAGAGCCCAAGATCTGCTTATTGCAGTTCTAAACCCCAGTGGTTATGATTAAGGAGGCTGAGCCTGTTGGAGCCTGACAGACAGAGTCTCAAGCCAGCCGGGACTACGGGTCTTCCTAATCCCATGGTCCTGGGTCCCCAAGCCATGAGGGGTCATGGAGCTGACTCTGTGTCCAGGTTACTCTTTCAATCTTCTCCACACTAAGAGGAACCTACATGAAGATGCCAACACAGGTTACATGCCTATTGTTTGCCTAGCACTGCACTGGACTTGATGAGACACCGGGGTAGGGTACCACCGCTGCCTGCACCTGTCTCCCCTGGAACGGACCTTCTCTCACGATATCTTTTTACTGCCCTTGTTGTAGCTGGTTGCCTCCTCTTTGATCTCATGCTAATGATCTTGGTGCCATATTAATGCCATGGAGCACACAGCTCGAAGGCAGCCAGAGAGGCCCACGTGAGTCGGGCCACGTGAGTGATTGTCTTTCTTCTTGTGTCACAGTTCACTGGCTATTTACCACGTGTGGGGCCAGTGGGCCCCACGGCCCCACGCAGGCCCAGTGCAACAATGCTTACCGGAACACCAACCTGAGCGTGGTGGTGGGGAGCGAGGGCCCCCTCAAGGGCATCCAGACCTGGAAGGTGCCAGCCACCGACACCTACAGGTGCGTATGGGGGAGGGGGCAGCCGAGGGGCAGAGGACTGGGGTCCTGTCTATGGGTGCATGTGCCCAGGTGCCTGGGTGGCACACCAAAGTTCAGAGGCTACTCTGGCCCATTGTAAGGATTGCAGAAAGGGAGATTGGAGATGACAAAATAGGGCAGCAAGGAAGATGCATCCTCTATTCTCCAAGGGCCCACAAACTCTTTGTGGAGATGATCTGCAAGCGTGAGCTGGCTTCAGAACATGCTTTATCCTTATTATTCATAATTGTAATTATTTCTGTTCTTTGAATCGCACTTGGTGCTGTTCCAATGAGGCAGTGCATGGACAAGCGTCTGGGAAACACAAGTTGTTATCCTTGTGCCTCCTTTCCTGGGACTTCACTGTTCTCAAGGGAAGTAGCTGTTCAACTCTGTCTGTGTCCAACCCCAAGCCCACGGAATTCCCCTAGAGCAGGGGTGGGGAATGTCTGGCCCACAGGCCGTATAAGGTCATCCAATCGTTTGGTCTGGCCCTGCCAAGGCATTAGGCATTAATTAAAGGTTGTACCAAATATAGCAGACTAATTTTTAAGTTGAGCATTTTGTTTGGCCCATGAATGATGTTATAAATATCCAAATGGCCCTCGGCAGAAAAAAAGGTTCCCTACCCCTGCCTTACAGCAAGGCCAGGCTGGAGGGAGGCCGATGACTCACCTGGGCTTTTGTGAGGCCATCAAGCAGCGCTAGTGGTAGAGCTTAGACCAGTGGTTCCCAGTTGGCATGGGGATGACAGGGCTGGTTAAAGCGCAGGTGGCTGTGCCTGCTCTTGGGGCATCTGACCGTGTAGGCTTGGAGTGGGGTCAAGAATAGAATTTCTGGCCCTAGTCGGTTTGGCTCAGTGGATAGAGTGTCAGCCTGCAGACTGAAGAGTCCCGGGATTGATTCCAGTCAAGGGCCCATGTCCAGGTTGTGGACTCGATCCCCAGTGAGGGATGTGCAGGAGGCAGCCGATCAATGATTCTCAATGATTCTCTCTCATCATTGATGATTCTATCTCTCCCTCTCCCTCCTTTCTCTCTGAAATATATAAAATTTATATTTTTTTTAAAAGTTAAATATATATATATTATTTTATTTATTTATTTATTTATTTATTTTAACAATAGCATTTCTGATAAGTTCCCAGATGATGCTGATGCAATCCTGAGAACCAATGAGTCAGGTCAGACTTGGGCAAGATCAGGGCTGCAGTCAGTTTATAAATGAGGAAACTGAGGCTCAGAGAGTCAGGAGCCTCCTACAGCCCAGACATCCCCTCCTAGCCCCTGAACTTTGGGAACAAGGCCTCACTGTGGCTCCTCCCACCGCACAGCCAGGCTGTTTAAACAGGAAGTATCATAGTGATGTCCCGGTTGGTGTGAATGTCTCAGGAGGCTGGGCGGTGGGAACTGAGTTCCCCCTCCCTCCTGCAGCCCCTGAGCCCCAGCATAGCCGCTCCGGGGATCTCGAGGTAAAAGTGTTTCAGGGAGAGCCCTAAGTGCTTTCTAAATGCCATCTGGCAGGAATGCAATAATGAGGTTTGCCTGCAATCACATTAGCTGCTGTCCTGCACACTCCCAGGAAATGGCTAAAGACACGCACCACCCTGACCCCACCGCCCTGAGCTGGCCAGGCCCCCCTCCTCCCAGCTGGATTTCTGTGGACAGCCCTGTCCCAGAGCAGGAAAAAAGGACTCCTGGGGGGTAAGGGGACAGATGTTTATTGAAGATCCACTGGACATTTCCCCTCCGTGTGGTGATGAGGTGGTGTTGTTATTGACACTCCCTTGTCTCCACCTGCGGAGTGAGAAGCTTTGCGCTGGCCTGACCCCACATGGCCAGAGACAGCAGTGCCGGGAGCAGACCGATCCCGTAGACATTCGTTTCTGACATCCCTGCTTCCCAGGACTTTCTCCCGACTTCCTCAGATGGGCCCCATATTTAAAAAGATTTTGCCTGCCAGAAAACTGCACTATTAGGTAAAAATTAATCCATGGTCCCATCTGGTGTGAATTATAACCGTATCTAAGTCTAGCCAGGTTTCTGATCCGAAAGGATTGCCACAGGGTTGCCGCACCATGTTGACATAAGCCCGGCCCTAATCAAGAGCCGTTCCTATTTCTCTCTTTGGAACACTGAGACCAGCTTTGCCTGGCAAACACTCATTGGAAACATACACATGCTGTTGAGGCAGGACACCATGAAGTGTCCAGATGGGAGAATTTGATCTGCGAGATTCTGTTGAATTGGCCTCAGATAGCATCCTGTCAAAATGAAAGAATCAAAACCGAAAAGCACGGGGTTGGGGTTGCTGTTGTTGAATCTTTGTTCTTTAACCAACGAAAGGCTGTCACAGAGGCAATCCTCCTTCAGTGTCCAAGGGTGATTGGTTTCAGGGTTCCTTTGGATACCCAAAGCCGAGGATGCTCAAGTCCCTTATGTGAAATGCCATAGTATTTGCATATGAACTACATATGTATGATTTAAATCCTCTCTAGATTACGAACAGTACTGTAAGTAATGAAAATGCTTGCAAATAGCTTTTATACTGTATGGTTTAGAGAATAATAACAAGAAAAAAAAATGCCCATACATGTTCAGTACCGACACTACCATTCGTGGGCATAGTGCATGTCACCAACAAGGTAACGTTTTTTCAGATATTTTTGATCTGCGGTGAGTTTGCACACGTGGAACCTACTGATGTGGAGGGTCACCTATTTCTGAACTTCGCTTCATCCCCACCTGGCAGCATGTACAGCTGGGTGACACCATCATTCTGCCCAATCCATAGACAGCTGGGCATTGAGTAGGTGCTATGGGATTTAAAGAGAGGACTGAGTCTCTGGGGTGCCACAGACTTTGGAAAGTCCACAGGGCAGGGAAGTTAAATAACAGTCCACAGTACCAGTCAAGTTCTAGACTAGGGGTGTCGAACTCAATCAGAGAAGGGGCCAAAATCTAAAATCCCAGCCTAAATCGCGGGCCGAATGGTTTACTGAACAGTCATAAACTGTCATTGTGATGGAAACGCAGCGGAGTGCAGTGATGACAGCGCGGTGCGGGCCACATTGCAAGGCCTGGCGGGACGGATTTGGCCCGCGGGCCTTGTGTTTGACACGTGTTCTAGACCATTATAGAAGAGAGCGACAAGTCATGATTAATGTCAGCCTAATTGTGCAGCTAGCCATCGCCATGAGAGCACAGAGCAGGGCAAGTCAGGAGAGGGAGACTGAGGAGATCGATGGGCTGCAGGCAGAATGCAGTTTGGGTTTATTTCTGCCCCTTACACCATGTGACCTTGAAAGTATGCTTCCCCCTCTCTCTGCTAGTGCTTTCAGGCTCCACCCATCTGAAGGAGGCGGGGTTGTAGAGAGTCGCTGGGATCTCCTCCAGCTGGAATGGGGGTGGGGGAGGGGCGGGCGCGGGTGGACCCTGAGGTTGTAAGGCTGCCCTGGTCTGGTGGGCCATAGGCAAGAAGAGCACCTTGCTCACAGGTGCCATCAGGACTAGAACTGGACAGTGAGAAGCAGGTGCCTTGACAATTGGCCTTCACCGCTGACCCCAGGGGTGTCTCCTGGTGGCTCACATGACCTGTCTGTGTAATCTGGCTACACCTGAACAGGCATTTCCCCCTGACTCCGCTCGCTCTGCGCACACTCGCTGGCCTCCTGTGGGCGAGGACAGGCAGGGCAGGTCTTATATCCTGATTCCCGGAGGAGGAAACCAGAGACTCAGAGGAGGGAAAGGGCCTGTGCAAGGCCCTGCTGGGAATTAGAGGTGGAGCCCAGAGTGGGGTGCAAGAGAGACCCAGGTGCTCCATGCTCATTCAAGTAGGGTCCACTCCCTCTTTCCCCTCCCCTTTCCTCTCCCACCCCACCCAACTCCCCTCAGGGTGTGGAGTCCATGCAGCCTTCAAGCTACAGCCAGCTGTGCTCCTGTTTCAGCATCCAGCAGGCAGCTGCTTTGATTTGCTGCTAATTCTTTATTTTAAAAAGATTCACAACTCAATTACAGCAGGTAACAATAGCTCACAGTCAATAACACAAAACACAAACCTAATAAACATCCATTTTGACTGGGGGCCTTAGCTGAGGGGAAAAAACACAGCCTCAGCTTGTTGAGAACAGTATCTTATAATTTCCGAGAAATTGGAATGGCTGCGAATCAGATTCCCCGTTTGAGTGGCAGGTAAATTAATGTGCCGTTTGTCAGCCACCAAAAATAAACTGTTTACAGGGGGTGGGGAGAAGGCTCCCGAGATTCCAACTGAGGTGATTACTCCCACACCAGTTTGTGTGGCACCATTTGTAGGGTTGGGGATCTCTACAGTGGTGAACAGCCTTGACCCCTGACCTCTTGGCCACACCCTGCTCTCCTATTGCTCTCTGGAAATCAGGGGCTCCTTCCCTCTCTGCCTCCCAGAAGTCACCCGGTGGAGAGGTGTGGACAGGCTCAGCCATGGGCTTCATCAGAGCAGAAGCTGCTGTTTGTCCCTCCCTGGCTATCCTCCAGGCACTGAATTAGGTCCCTCGCAGTCATTATCTCACTTAAATCTCACAACAATTCTTATTATCGCCCTTTTATATCCTGTTTCCCCGAAAATAAGACAGTGTCTTATATTAATTTTTTCTCCCAAAGTTGCGCTAGGTCTTATTTTCAGGGGATGTCTTATCTTTCCATGTGCTAGGTCTTATTTTCGGGGAAACACAGTAGATGAGGAAACTGGAGATCAGAGAGGGTAAATAACCTACCCAAAGCCACACAGTAATGCTGGCAGAGCCAGGGCCAGCAAGAGGGTAAACTAGGTGCCTTGGACACAAAATCTGAGAAGCCATGGGCTCTCAAGGTCACCTGAGCACAGGGTTGGCACCAGGGAGGTGCCTGTCTTGCCGCACCCCAGTCCTGGCCCTGAGTCACCACTTGTGTTTGCTTTTAGGCCCGCTGCCTCTGAGCCTGCTTTCTTCTCTGTGCCACGTCCTGCTCCAGAGGCGACCAGCCTTGCAGTGGCAGCTGGGAGCTTGCAGAGATGTGAGCTCGGTGGTGGGATTTCAGCCCTCAGAGGGCTGGTGATAGAGGCACTGCCTGCCAGGGCCCCTGCAGTTAGTCCTGACAGGCGGCTGTCCGCTCCCTATGGCTCTCATCAAGTCCACAGCTCAGGTTTCAAATGTGGGGCCGAGGCCAGCACACAGGAAAGTGAGATCAGCTTTTGACACCTGCTCATCAAGCCCTCTGCCTGCTTTGGAATCTACAGATTGTTCCCAGCCCCACGCCCTACACTGCACTTGCCATCAGTTTGTTATCTTCCAGATGTACTTCTTATCCCCAGGACGGCAGGGGTCCTTGTTCTCATTTTTCTCCTTGGGGTGAAAATAAGGTTCACAGAGGTTAACCAAGCTGCTGCCAGTCACACAGTAGAGGGCTCTTTCCATCCAACCCCCTTTCCAAGCACTAGGTCAAGACCTAGGTGAGGCTGGCATTCAGATCTGGTTAGGGAGGGGAGAAATAAGAAAAAGGAAAAAGGGAGGGGAAAACCATGTCAGTAATAAACAACTTATAAAATACTAGAGGCCCAGTGCATGAAATTTGTGCATGGGGAGGAGGGCAGGGGTGTTCCTCAACCCAGTTTGCACCCTCAACCCAGCTTGGTCTAATCTGGGACCTCTCAAGGGATGTTCAACTGCCCATTTGGGCTCGATCTTAATGGGATCAGGCCTACAAGGGCAGTCAGACATCCCCCTCACAATCCAGGACTGCTGGCTCCCAAACAATCACCTGCCTGCCTATAAGGTTGCCCCTAATCACTTCTGCCTGCCAGCCTGATCACCCCCTAACCACTCCCCTGCCAGCCTGATGTCACCTAACTGCTCCCCTGCTGACCTGATTGCCCCTAACTGCCCTCCCCTGCCAGCCTAGTCCCCCCCAACTGCCCTCCCTTGCTGGCCTGGTCCCCCCAACTGCCCTCCCCTGCTGGCCTAGTTCCCCTCAACTGCCTTCCCCTGCATGCCTGCCCCCCCCCCCAATTGTCCTCTCCTGCAGGCCTGGTCCCCCCGAACTACCCTCCCCTACTGTCCCAGTCCCCCCTCAACTGCCCTCCCTTGCTGACCTAGTTCCCCCCAACTGCCCTCCCCTGCATGCCTGTTCCCCCACAACTACCTTCCCCTGCAGACATGGTCCCCCACAACTGTCCTCCCCTGCAGGCCTGGTCCCCCCAACTGCCCTCGCCTGCAGGCCTGGTCCCCCCACAACTGCCCTTCCTTTGCAGGCTGCAGGCCTGGGCCCTCCCAACTGCCCTCCCCTGTTGGCCATCTTGTGGCAGCCATCTTGTGTTCACATGGGGGCAGCCATCTTTTTTTTTTTCTTAATATATTTTTATTGAGTTTTCACAGAAAGGAAGAGAGACAGATAGAGAGTTAGAAACATCGATGAGAGAGAATCATCGATCAGCTGCCTTTTACACACCCCCTACTGGGAATGTGCCCAAAACCAAGGTACATGCCCTTGACTGGAATCAAACCAGGGACCCTTCAGTCTGCAGGCCGATGCTCTATCCACTGAGCCAAACCGGTTTTGGCGGGGACAGCCATCTTTGATCACATGAAGGCGGCCACCTTGTGTGTTGGAGTGACAGTCAATTTGAATATTGCTCTTTTATTAGATAGGATAATAATTTGACTAAATTTAAACAGGTGAAAGAATTCATAATGCATGCAGATTGATGCAAATGATGCCAAAAATAACGAGAAGGGCACAGTGTACCTCTCAGCCATAAGCAGGAATGGCCAGCCTGGGACTCTGTCTCAGGCAACAGTTTTTCAAGCAAACCACACGTTTAGCGGAAAGGTCTTTCTTGTGCAACCAGGCAAAGCCCAGAACAGAGGCAGCGTCCACACCGCTAACTCAGGACTCTGCCCAGATTGCCCCTGGGCCCCCACCACCAGCAGCACCCCCTCTGCCCCAGGTTTCCCTTCTCTGAGCTCAACAATTCTCCTCGCTTTCACTTCACTAATAAGCCTTCCTTTTCCCTCAGCTTTTTAATTGTCCTTATCATGGCCTCCATTTGTAATGGGTCGGGAGTGAGGGTTTGGCTGGGATCTGCATGAATTAGGGTGGGCCAGTCGCCCCTCAGCCCACCCCCTTGTGCATCCAGATGGACCTCCCAGCAGCACCTTGGGAAGGAAGTGGCCTCTGTGAGGGGAAATGTGGAGTAGGAACCACGGCCTGCCAGCTCTGTGGCCTCAGATAAGTTACTTAAGCCCTCAGAGCCTCAGATTCCTCATCTGTCAAATGAGATTACTAACAGCTACTATTGATGACTATTAAGGGGGTGCTATATGCAGCCATGCCTGGTGCATTGTGGGATGCTCAGGCATTGGCCCCTCTGCCCTCTGCAGCCCTGCAATCTCCTCCCCACCGCAGCCAGCTCTCCTGCCTCTTCCCTTCCATTGACACAGGCCAGACTCCCACCCTCCACCTCCTTCTGCTTGTCCGAGAGCCCACCTGCCCATCCTCTCCATGAAGCCAACTCCAAACCTCCATCCCACACGCCCTGCAACCAGCCAAGGTCTCCCTTCTGGGCAGAGATTTTCCACTTTCTCTGAGTTTTCACCCGTGATCCCCCTTTGATGTTGAGCCCCCACTACCCTGTGAGTTCAGAAAATAAGATAAGGCTCTTATCTGACCAGGGAAGAGGATGGGGTTCTGAGAGGACACAGCTGGGAAAGGGCCTCCTCTGGTCATTGGGACCCACAGCCCTTTGGTCCCCCATCTCTCTCCCTGCTGGTGAGGTTTCTCTCTTCGTAGCTATGGGCATCTCCCCACTTTCTGTGTGAGCTCCTTGACGGCCTGGAGCCCGGCCCTGGTCTCCTCTGGTGCACACAGCTTCACGCCACGCCAGCATGTGGTGACTCCCATCAGTGCCCGGCCACAGACAGCCGGTGGGCACCAGACCCTCCTTTGCAGCCCATAGAGGCCTCAGTTCCTCGCCTGGACAGAGGCTGGCAGTCAGCCCTCTAAGCCTGTCTCTGCACAACAGGCCTGAGCTCCACCGTAGGGGGCCCCCAGGAGGTGCCTCACACACTTGGAACCTGTGCCTTTCCTGAAGTTATAGGAGGAGAAGCCACTGTGTGTGCAGTGAGCACAACTGCCTGGAGGCTTTGTGTGCAAATTCACAGCTCTGGACCTCCCCTCTCCCACCCCTCCCCCCGGGTGTCTCCCCCCCCTCGCAGGGGGCCTCTGGGGAGGCATTTGTAGCTGGTGAGCGGGCTGCCTTCAAAACAGACCCCTTGGGGTCCAGTAGCCAGTTACTTCTTTCCAGCCTTGCTTGACTATCGCAACAACCTAGGAGGCAGCGGAAATAATCCCACACGCCTCGCTGCTTGTTTTCATCCTGATGGGCTGCTTGTAGTCTGCACACAGATCGCTCCGGAAGGCGTTCCTGGTGGGGCGGGAACAAACAGCTGGGCTGCATACAGCGCTCTCCTCGCTCATTCCCCGGGGCCTTCTCATGTTAGAGCCACGGGGAGACTTTAAACTTTCTATTGATACCAAGTCAGCCCCTGCTAATTCCACCATTAATAACAACAGCAACAATAATAAATACTTTTGAGTGCTTATTAGGTGCCAGCCACCAGCCTAAAACTGCATGTACTAATTCCTTTCATCCTGGTGACACACAGGGGCTAGAAGCTGGGTTCTCTATTATCCCATTTTACAGATGTGGAACAGGGACGGTAAGTTACTTGTCTAAGGTCACATGAGCCCTTTGATCTGGGGCAGGGAGGTAAATCCATGATGGGGAAATCCCAGGATCTCAGAACACCCTCCTCCCAGATAATAGATCAACCGAAGGACTTGTATACATGCATATAAGTACAACCAATGGACACAAAACTCTGGGGAGGGAGGGTTTGTATGGGAGGGGAGGGGCAATGTTAAAATATGTACACAGATAATAATTTAATAAAAATAAATAAAAATAAAAAAATTAAAATTAAATTAAATTTTTTAAAAAAAAAGAACACCCTCCCCCCTGTACCCCATGTTAACACAGACCCTCCCGGTCCTTGCTCTCCTCCTGCCCCTCCTTTTCCTCTCATTCTTTCTCCCACCCTTTACTAGTCCTTCACCTTCTAAGCTCTGCCAATGAGGCGCCTCACTGTCCCTCTCTAGGCGACTGCCCTCTCCCGACATTGGGGGGAGGAGGACTTTCCTTGCTCACCTCATGGCTGCTGCAGGGGAGAGCCATCAGGACTCACGTGGGGTGCACTTGGCCCCTGGAGGTGCCAGGGGAGGGGGGGGAGCAGGAGGGAGTCAGGCTTCACCCCGTGGCAGAAGCCCATGTGCTTTGTCCCATTGCAGCATCTCGGGCTACGGAGCGGCCGGCGGGAAAGGCGGGAGGAACACCATGATGCGGTCCCACGGCGTGTCCGTGCTGGGCATCTTCAGCCTGGAGAAGGACGACACGCTGTACATCCTGGTCGGACAGCAGGGAGAGGACGCCTGCCCCAGTGTAAGTGCCAGAGCTGGGCTTTCTCCTCCACACGCAACCGGGCCCATGGGGGCCCTCGGAGGGCACCAGCACCCACCGGGGCCCTCGGGGGTTACCAGCACCCACAGGGGGCACCAGCGCCCCTCACACCCTTCCCTTGTCCTGCCTGCAGGTGCCTCTCCTTTTCTAGGCCATTTGGGTCCTTGGAAATCTGGGGGTGTGGCTATTGGGGCTTACCTTCCCACAGGGACCAAGGCTGGGACTTGGGTTGCACAAGGACCCTTAAAACTAAAGGAGCGAATTCCATGTGAACGGGCAAATGGTTGTTCCTTTAGCAGAAGTACAAGCTGAAGCCACTTCCTAAACTTTCTTGCTCGAGCATCGCTATCTTTGGCCATATTATTACAAACAGAAAAATACCAGCTTAAACATTTCTTGTCCAACTCTTAGACACTTGTATGTCCATAAGTACACAGAATAAGCTCTGAACTATACACCTAACTGGTTGTTTCTGGGGCAGGGACTGCAATTGAGGGTGCTTTATCAGTCATGCCCGGTATGGTTACAAAAAGAATGCATTCATATAGAATTTATTATTTGTGTGATTAAAGCCTTTTAAAAAACATGAAGCACAGGTGAGAGCTGGAAGAACAGGTAATCCACTTGTCTCATTTTACAGATGAGAAAATGGAGACCACAGTGGTGAAGGGACTTCAAAGTCATTCACAACACAGGACAGAGTAGGGACTTGGGCTCCTGTGTTTGCTGAGCCCTCCCCCACCCCCTTGCTTAGGCCTCAGTTTTTATGGCCTTTTGTTCTTTTCCACTTATAGCCCATCACTTGACAAGCCAGACCGCCATTCTCTACAGCCCCAGACATAGCCTGTCCTTCTCATCTCTGACCTCACGAGGTGTCTCTCAGTCACACGGGAGAACTCCAGCAGCAGGAGCTAAGAAAGCTGGTGGAGCCCTAGCTGGTTTAGCTCAGTGGTTGGAGCCTTGGCCCACGGACTGAAGAGTCTCGGGTCTGAGTCCATTCAAGGGCACATACCTTGGTTGCAGGCTCCATCTCAGGCCCAGGTCAGGGTGCACGCCGGAGGCAACCAATGGTTGTGTCTCTCTCACATTGATGTTTCTCTCTCTGTGCCTCTCCCCATCCCTTCCACTTCTCTAAAAAAAAAAAAAAAAAGCTGGTAGAGGTCTGACATGATCAGGAGCATGAAAAAGTGCAGACTGACGAAGCAGCTGGCATGCAAACGCCCAGCACCTACTGGCTTGCGTCTTGCTGTGCCAGGCCCCTGGCAGTGCTGGCTGTCCTGGCAGGAACTCAGCCCCCTGCAGGGCCTGTCCCCTTGGGGCCAGGCGCCACCCTCGCCCGCAGCCCAGCTTCCACCTGGGGCAGGGAGCAGCCTCAGAGGAAGATGTGGGGACAGGGGCTACTGAGAAAGCAGTTCAGTTCCACGAAATAAACTCAGGGCTGGGCTGGGAGCGAAGCATAGCCCTCCCCTCCCCCACCACGCTGTGGGTTAAAACAAAGCAGCAGGCATAAGCTTCGCCCGTACAACCTTCGTGAATGAGCACTGTCTGGACTCCAACTTTTACTCAGCAACAATAATCAGGACTTTCCAACCTGATATAATATATTACGTCATTAAACTGCAGGCTCCATAATGTTCACAGGAATTTATTGAGTGCTAATGTAATTCTTTCATCTAAGCGGGAAGATTGCATTGACTTTTGCAAGGGACTTTTACTTGATTGGATTGTAATCAGTTATGTCTTTTCACAGGACCGCGTCCTTTTTATTTTAATTCAATTGTAATCTACTTGTTCCTCTGGGTTGTTGCACTTTATCATTTCATTAATCAACCGACTCGCTCTCAAACTTGGTGGATGTGCAGGGAGAGCTCAGTTCCTAGCCAGGGACAGAGGGCAGCTCCCTCTGCTGGCCAGGCCGGCACAGCATGAGCCTGTGCTCCACACCCCCAATGTCCCTCCTCCCATGTGTGGGTCCAGAAGTGAATCCAACTTAAGACAGCAGCCATTTGTTCAGTCCCCGGCACATGCAAGACCCTGTCTCAGCTACACACCACCTCCTGTGCCTGTTCCCCGTGCACACGGGGTCAGACGGAGGCCTGCCCACAGCTGGTCAGGGGTGTCCGACAGACCCCAGGGCCCACAGCCTCCTCAGTGGCAGACACAAGCCACTACTTAGGGCTGTGCCAGGGGAGTTCTGAGGCAGGAAATGGGACATGAGCTGGGAGGAATGAGTTGCCCAGGATGAAGAAGTGACTTTCACAAAGATGAGCTGGGAATAAATCTGAGTCTGGCCTCACACTGTTTTTTTCTCTTTCCACGAGGCATCAGACCTGCAACTTCCTTTCCCACTGCCCGGAGAATGGAGTCCAGTTCCTTCTGGGATCGTACCCGAGGCCCTTGCATGACTTGGTTTCGTTCCCTCCACCCTCCCGCCTCACGGTCCCTCCATCTCACCACGTGGGACCTCTGTCATCTTCAGAGTCAGAGGACACTTCCGCTCCTGCTGAACCATCTCTCTGTCCTAAGATGGGCTTTTCTTAGCCAAAAAGGCTCCTTCCCCAAATACCCCACTCACCTTGTGGGTTTGTGCTGCTCTCTCCCCCTGGAATGCCCTTTCTCTCATTCTCTGTGTTTAAAAATCTCTCTATCCGATGTAGTATACAACACAGGGAATACAGTCAATAATGTCATAATAACTTTGTATGCTGATGGATGGTTACTAGAATTAGCATAGGGATCACTTCCTCAGATATATAAATGTCAATCACTATGTTGTATATCTGAAACTAATATAATGTACTTTAATGTCTTTTAAAAATCTCCCTATCCTTCGAGGCCCAAGTAAGTGACACCTCCTGCAGGCAGTCCTCCCTGATCACCAGTTAGCAACAAAGGCTCACTCACCCTCCCCAACTTCCCATGCATTTTCTAACTAATTTCTATCCTTGTGATCCTTCTCTAATACTGCCCAGAGTGACCATTATCTGGGTATATTTTTGGTCTCTTCAACTCAACTCTAAGCTATTTGAGAGATAGAGCGTATCTTTTTTTTTTTTTAATATATTTTTATTGATTTCAGAGAGGAAGGGAGAGAGGAAAAGAGATAGAAACATTAATGATGAGGGAGAATCATTGGTTGGCTGTGTCCTGCATGCCCCCTACAGGGGATGGAGACGGCAACCAGGCATGTGCCCTTGACCGAATCGAATCTGGGACCCTTCAGTCCACAGGCTGGCGCTCTATCCACTGAGCCAAATTGGCTAGGGCAGACCCTATCTTTAAATGTAGAAGATCTGTCTGCTGGGAAGTAGAGAAACTTGGACACAAACCCGAGGTGCTGTTTGTTTCTGCAGACAAACCGATTGATCCAGAAAGTCTGCATTGGGGAGAACAATGTGATAGAGGAAGAAATCCGCGTGAACAGAAGCGTGCACGAGTGGGCAGGAGGGGGCGGCGGAGGGGGCGGAGCCACCTACGTATTTAAGGTGAGTGGGCTGTGCCAGCTCCCAGGGGCAGAGACTTCTGTGTGTCATGGGGTTGCCTCGCGACAGCCCCAGGAACCAAATGCCCACTTAGTGCATTTAAGGATGAGGAAACCGAGGCCCAGAGGGACATGGACTCCTTGTCTGTCCAAGAAAGGCAGTCTCTTCTCTCGCTGATTCACCCCCAAGCCTCTGCCATGCCTGCCTCAGGCCTCCAGAGGGGCCATTAAGGTGGACTTCCTCTGCCAGGCCCGCCCACAGGGACAGTGATGCTGAGTGCCTCTCTGGAGGTGATAGGAGTCAGAACCAGAGACCAGAGGGAGTGAGAGGAAGGAGAGAGCAAGGAGACCTCCTGCCACCAGCACCCAACCTCTGAGGCTCCTCTGAGCTTCGGGCAAGGGGCTGAGCAGGCAGCAGCTGAGCTTGAGCCCCTGGTTACTGCAACCTGAGTTCAGAGCCCCCAGCCCACAACCTGAGTTCAGAGCCCCCTGATGAATGAGTCTGAGTGTGTGCTCAGCATCAGGGCACTGGCTCTCCAGAATGGAAGCCCACTGAGCACACACTCAGACTCATTCGTCAGGGCGCTGGCTCTTCAGAGTGGAAGCCCAGCTCCGCCTGTCACTCTCTCCATATCTCTCTGGGCCAGATGAAGGATGGCGTGCCAGTGCCCCTGATCATTGCGGCCGGCGGAGGTGGCAGGGCCTACGGGGCCAAGACGGACACGTTCCACCCCGAGAGGCTGGAGAATAACTCCTCGGTGCTAGGGCTCAACGGCTACTCCGGAGCCGCAGGTAAAGCCGTCCAGCCCGCCCTCTCCTGGAACGCTCTCCCGGGGCCATCACACCTGTGGCATCTTTGTCACCCATACCTGGGAGGCTGGGAGCTCTGAAGTAGGGACCAGCCTCAAGGGAGGAAGGGCAGGCGGCATCTTTAGCCCCAGAGACCACCTTGCTGATGCCGTTGGGACTTGTGGGAGGTCCCTGAGAAAATGAGACAGGCACCCGCATTCAGACCGCCAGCCCAGCCCTCCCTGGGTTTCACCACATGCACCTGGAGGTGAGCAGAGGGGAGAAATCTGGAGCGGAGTCCAACCCTCCGGACCCCTGTGGTTTCTGTCTGGGCCAGGCCTGGGCTGCCAGCTCACACAGCCCCTCACTGGGAGCGCTTGCTGGAATCTTCGTGGCTGGGCTCTGTGCTAGTTATGAGAGCAGCCACACCACACACAGGACAGGCCCCGAAGGGGAGGTGGACTCTCCGATTCTCTGAGATCAGCCATCGCTAAGGAGAAAATGCAGTTCCTTCTTGGATTTTTCTCCACAGTCGGAGTGAAGGAGGGTTTTGGGAGGCATTTAAAATTTGAGATTAGTTTAAAGCAAATACTCAAACTTTCTCTTTAATCAAGAGACGAATAGGGCTGAAAGAAAGTAGAACTAGTTATCGGGTCCACAGTAAGGAATTGCCCCCAGCACTGTTTACACCTGTGCGGGTTTAATAACTTACAGAGCTCTTTGGCAGCTATTATACCTGTGCTTTTCAAAGCATGTGCTGGGGTTTTCTAGAAAGATATCATCATTCCCATTTTATAAGTCAGCGAGCTCATAGAAAGTTAGTGGATTTTTTCTCTACATGACCACACTGTTGCATACTCAATCCATTTTTTTAAAAACGTTGTTGTTGATCTATCTTTATGAAGCATTCCACACTCACCATCTCCTTTGACCCAAATGTCAACCTGCTGAGGCCATCTTATTATCCCCATGTTAAGGCTCAGGATGGGGAGCTCTTGCCCAGTGCATAGCACAGCCCACTGGGTTATCCAGGCCTGGTCCAGGGCTCCTACACGGAGCCTCTGCGGCCACCAGGGAGGTGGGTCCTGTTCTTACTGACATGGGAAGCAGCCAACAAAGACCTAGCACTTGGGGCTGGTGCTCTGGAGAGAAGGCCCAGGAACACACCGAGTGCCATGCTGCCTGCCCTCTCCAGCCCCTTTCCCAGCCAAGCACTCTCAGGGCTTTCGAGCCAGAGGACTGCGGGAGGCAGAGGTACCGGAAGTGCACGTCAGGACGTCCAGCTGTGGCCACAGCAGGTCTCTCCAGGACAGAGGCCATGTCCCTGGACTCGAGTCCTAGGCCCACCGAAGCCAAGGCCCCTGGGCCCCCTCAGAGCGCATGAGGTCCTCCTTGGCCAGGCCCAGCAGCTGAGCCAGTCCGGCCTCACAGGTTCTCTGTCTTCCGGCAGGTGGCGGAGGTGGCTGGAATGATAACACTTCCTTGCTCTGGTCTGGAAAATCCTTGCTGGAGGGTGCCACCGGAGGACATTCCTGCCCCCAGGCCATGAAGAAGTGGGGGTGGGAGACCAGAGGGGGTTTCGGAGGGGGTGGAGGGGGGTGCTCCTCCGGTGGAGGAGGCGGAGGATATATAGGTAAAGATGATTCGTGTTCAAGGTATCACCCCCTCCCTTAGTCCTAGGTACCCTACCTCTCCCAGCCCTCGCCTACCCTCCCCCGGCTGCCCACGTGTGGACTGTGATGTGACCATGCACGCCTCGCTAAGCCCGGCCACCGGCCAGAGGCAGGGTGTTGGCTTGCGAGCCAGCATCCTGCCTCCAGGCTTCCACAGCGTCCGCATCAAGAACCCGTGTGATTCTTGATCACCCCCAAAGCCGATGACCGAGAGGCTTTGGCTTCCCAGGCTGTGTTCTCAGAGCCACCCTGGGGATGTGCTGGCTTTAGAACCTCGGAGGCCAGACTTCTGAGCCCCATGCCTCCCTTTGGATGGCCTGGCCCCTGACTTCGCAAGCCAGCTCCTTAAGGCCTGGCTTGTGGCTTCTGACCTCAAGGACGCCTCCTTTTCCCTTTCCTGCCCCAGCCCACCAGCTCCAGAACGGCCCACTCTCCATGCCAATGGGCACTCCTCCTGGGGGCAACCCCAGCCCGGCCCTTGGGCAAGCAGCTGGCCACTGGCCCGGCTCTCCTTTGGACTAGCACAGGGCAGAAGAGCCTTCTGAAGCTGAGAGGCAAATGGTGTCTCCTCCATCCCCACAGATTAGGACCCAATGCATGCACACTCCGTGATGTTCTGTCTGTGTTTTGCTTTGTGCTGTAAAGATGCTTGCTTTAACCAGATGCTCTTTTCTAAGCCATGGGCGGGTGGGGGAGCCCAAGGGGGGCGGGGGGAGCCCAGAGTTAAGCCAGCCCCAGCTGAATGGAGGGACAGGAGCCTACAGGCACAGGGGCCCTTCCCCCACGACCCTACCCTGACCCAGGGGACTGGAGAGCAACTTCTCGGTGCTGCTGCCTGGCCTGTCCTGGAAGAGGCCCTGAGCTAACCCAGCCTGGGAGACTAGAACTTGTCTGATTCTTGTTCCCATGCACTGCTTCCTGCAGGCCTAGGGTGGGGACACCCGGTGGGAGCTGGAGGGGAAGGTGGCCCACACCCAGCATCTACTGAGCCCAGGGCAGCCCTGTGCCTGAGCCTCCCTTCCCTCCTCACCCCCCGCCCTGCGGGCCCCCACCCCCACCCCCTGCATGACCCGCTTACGCTCACGTGTGTTGAGATCGGGCGCCCACCTCTCTGCATTAAACGTCTCTGTCTGCCCCAGGCGGCAACGCAGCCTCAGACAATGACCCCGAGATGGACGGAGAGGACGGGGTGTCCTTCATCAGTCCCCTGGGCATCCTGTACACCCCGGCTTTAAAAGGTACCCCCTCCGCCAGCAGGTGCAGGATCAGCTTCCTTAGGCCAGTTCTCCCGCCCAGCTGAACCCCAGGCTGCTGGCAGTAGCCCAGGAAACAACGGCATGACTATGGGTCTCTCCCAACAAGCGTCCTGGCGTCGGGAGTGGGGTCTCATATGGGCATCGAGGTGGGAGATTGACAACCAGGCAGGCCAGTCCTAGAAAATCCAGTAGCATTAGGGCTGTCCCTGTCCCAGCCAACTGAAGAGCAGGTGTGTGGACCCCCCCACCCACCCGCACCCCAACCTGCATAAATACATCCCAACAGCCTCTGCGCCCCCCTTGCCAGAGGCACTGGGATCTTCCCACACAGAGCAGCGCTCCAGGGCAGTGACCTGGGCACAGGGACTGAGAGTGCACGCTGGCCGCTGGAGATAAAGCATGGGCCGGGCAGGGTGCGGGCGGCACAGGGCAGCCCCGCTAGCCCGCCCCCTTGCCCGCAGTGATGGAAGGCCACGGGGAGGTGAACATCAAGCACTACCTGAACTGTAGCCACTGCGAGGGCGACGAGTGTCACCTGGACCCCGAGAGCCACCAGGTCATCTGCTTCTGCGACCACGGCACAGTGCTGGCTGAGGACGGCGTCTCCTGCATTGGTAAGGGGCTGGGTGGGGTCCAGAGATGGAGCCACAGCTGGTCTCCATGGTTCTGGGATATGTGGCACCCAGTTTTGTAATCTTCCTGCCCCCTCCCCACCCTCCCCCGGCCTTGGTCTGCCCCAGCTTGAGTGCTCTGACAAAGAGGCAGAGACCTGAGTGTGAAGGATGGGTCACGCCTCTCGACGGAGTCTGAGTCACCTAGTGCCACCCCTAACCCAGGGCGTGAACCCCCACATCCGCACAGGGGCCAGCAGTCTGCTAGAACGGGCTGTGCTCCAAGGCTCGCTCTTCCTCCAGGGCATTCCAGAGCCAGACCCGCCCTGCAACACCCACCCCTCAGCCTCCCCAGCTTTTCCAGTGTGTCCCCCTAAAAGTCCCCTCCAGGTTGAATGCCTGGGTTCAGTCCATTCGCACAGGACACCGTTGTCCCCTCTCCTCCTGAGTCCCATGTCTGCAGCTGTTCCTGTGGTCACGTCCCTTTTGAAATGCAGTGTGGGGACCAGGCAGGACCCCTCGGTGTGGTCTGTGCCGGTGGGGCGCTGGAACATGCCCTCCTGGGCTCTGGACCAGCTCTCAGCAACAGGAGGTGATTGGGCCTCAGCGTTACTGAGGGTGCACCCTGCTGTTGGGTCATCCTGAGGTCACTGTCATCCGAGGCCTGGAAGTCTTGTGTGAGCCATGGTCGGCTCACCTTGTAGCCCCGCCCCGCCATCGGACAGTCTGTGTTTTGGATTAATGTTACATGTTCCCCCCCACCCCAAAGCTGCTGCTGAGGGCTGCGAAGCCAGGGTGAACAGGCCTCAGGCCCCTGTCCTCTGAAAGGGAAGGGGGCATGTCTGCAGGCTGAGAGAAGCAGCGGCTTTGGTCCTGGCTGGGGAGGGTGTTTCTGACGGGGCCAGCTCCCAGCAGTGTCAGCGTGGTCACCCCTGTCTCGTGGGGACTGTCTTCCAGTGTCGCCCACCCCAGAGCCCCGCCTGCCCCTCTCGCTCATCCTCTCCGTCGTGACCTCTGCCCTCGTGGCCGCCCTTGTCCTGGCGTTCTCTGGCATCATGATCGGTGAGTGTGCCACAGCCCTGGCTGCCAAGGGGAGGCAGGGGAGGCAGGACAGAGCGGCGTCTCAGGCTCTGCACGGACCCCGAGTGACAGGGACCCTCAGTCCGGGTTGTGGCCAGGCAGCGCAGGCCCAGCACAGCTGTGGTTCCCCAGGAGCCCTGTCTCTGAACCTCAGCCCCACTCCTGGCTGCTCTCGGGGAGGCAGGTGGGGCCCTCTGCTCAAGCACAGCCCCACCCTCACCCCCCAGACTTCACCTCCAGCTCCCATCCCAGCAGGCACTGCTCCCAGCGGCTCACTCCCCTGCACCGCCTCCAGCCCCTTCCCGCCACGGGCAGAGAATGCAGTTGGTTTGTGGGTGTTTCCTGTTAGGCCTGCGAGCCCAGGTGAGCTGATGGGCAGGTCGCAGAGGGCTCAGCATGGTCCTGCCAGGCTCCTCCTGCTGGAAATGCCCAGGACAAGTGGGCAGGGACAGGAAGGCAGGCCAGGGAAGGCTCAGCTCTGGGCTGCACTGAATCCCAGGTCACCCTGTGACCATGGTTACACATGTCATGGCGCAGAGAACTGAAAACTGGCTCACTCGCTGGCCGAAGGGGCGGAGCTGGGCTTAAAGGCAGACTCCACCTGTGGGTCACAGTTCCGGGCCCCCTCTCCTGGCGTTGGCCTACAGAGTGTTCTCTCTCTGTGTAACAGAGATAATGGTTCTTTGCATGGTGGAGCTCTTCAAAATTTTTCAAAACCATGTAATATTGGTGAATTTATTTCATTAAGACAACTCTAGGCAGTGGGGTATGGGACAGGGCCGGGGTTACTTTTCCTGCTTACAGAGGAGATTGGGGTCCAAAGAGGTCACATGACTTTGTCAGTGTCACTGGGCTTGTTAGTAGGTGAAATTAGAACTTGGGTCCTCAGGCATCAGCTTAGACGCCAGTTTAGAGACCTATTTGCTCTGGCAGTTCAACTCCCAGAAGCTCAGGGCGGTGGGCCCGGGTGCTCTCAAATCCATACCATGTTTGCACCCCCCCAGAGACTGGGCACAGTGAGACACTGAGGCAGGCCTCTTCCTGAGGGACCCAGCTCCTCTGAGTGCCACTGTGGCTCCAGAATGTCCCCAGTGCTTTGCTGGATCGCCTTTACACTGCATGGCCTTCGAGGGCTGTTACTCAGCCTCCCTCAGTCTCCTGCATGCCGGACCAGACTTTCAGCACAACCTGGCGGTTCCCCCGCCTTCCTGGGCCTCTCCCCACTTCCTCTCAGAGCCATTTGCCCTATGAAATTCTGCATGTTTAGTCCTGTCTTGGGTCTGCTTCTCAGGGGACCCAAACTAATATATCTCTGCCCCTATATGATACAGCAAAATCTTTTATTTATATGATATTAAGCTTTACATTAACTTTAAATAATGTGTCAAATTAAAAGTACACCTTCACTTCTATAATCCTTTTGTCAGTATTACTAAGTGTGATGGGAGGTTTATATCTCAGAGGAGGTGATGGAAGTCCAGGAAGGCTTCCTGGAGGAGGTGGCCTGTGGTGGGCTTCCAGTGCCGGGTGCCTGGTCCAGGCCACTTCCATCTGTCTGCAGTGTACCGCCGGAAGCACCAGGAGCTGCAAGCCATGCAGATGGAGCTGCAGAGCCCCGAATACAAGCTGAGCAAGCTCCGCACCTCAACCATCATGACGGACTACAACCCCAACTACTGCTTTGCGGGAAAGACCTCGTCCATCAGTGACCTGAAGGAGGTGCCACGGAAAAGCATCACCCTCATCCGGTGAGTGCCCCGGGCATCCTTCAGGGAAAGGGGGTGTTCTAGGGGTTGGCTGTCACCCCAACACACAGGTTTTTCTAGCCACAAGGGGCCAACAGAAAGTTACTTTTAATCGAAACTCCTAGGGCACCCCTAACCCTCCCAGAGAGAGGTTTAGTGTTCGGGCCATGTGGGGGGTATTAAATCACTCAACACCCTGTATATTCATGGGGTTTGTACAATGAGAGGAAGACTACACGGGAGGGAAGAGGCCTCTCAAAATGCCCTCCCTGAGCTTTCCTGGCCCCTTTCCCCCCTGATGGAGCCCAGTGGCCTCCTTGAGCTCCCAGACACCCTGTGTATGTCACTCACTGAGCGCCACACAGAGTGACTGTCAGCCTTTGTCCCTCCCTCCCCCCAGAGTGCACACCTTCAGGGCGAGGGTCGGGTCTCAGACACCTCTGTGTCCTTGGCAAATGTCAGGCTCCAGTCTTCACTGAAGGACTGTCCACCGCTGCCACGTACCCCAGGTTGTAACGCCTCTTGGCGGTTCTCAGACAAAGCAATGGAGGCCTGGGGCTGAGCAGCAAAGCCAGGGGCAGGTGTGACCTGGAGTGTGTGTGTATGTGTGCCCCGCTGCCCCTCGTGGGCAGCCCGGCCTTTCTCTCAGCCTGCCCACCTGCACCTCATCTGGCCTTCTCCTTGCACAGGGGTCTGGGCCACGGTGCGTTCGGGGAGGTGTATGAAGGTCAGGTGTCTGGGATGCCCAACGACCCGAGCCCCCTGCAAGTGGCGGTAAAGGTAAGCGGGGTGCCTCGGGGGCCTGAGCGTGGCCGGCGGTCTCTGTTGGCCACAGTCTTTGCCGACAGCCCTCCTGCGGCTAAAGGCCTTCTCCCCTCTGTGCCCAGACGCTGCCTGAGGTGTGTTCCGAGCAGGACGAGCTGGATTTCCTCATGGAGGCCCTGATCATCAGGTAACGTCACAGAGACACCCCACCGCCCACGTGCACATGCGTCTGACTCATGTCCCAGAGGGAGCCCCCTCCCGCACACCCCTCCCTCTCCAATAGCAGACTCCCCCCGATTCTCAGCATGGCCTGCCAGAATGGAACGGCCCCCCGTGGCTGTTGTCACCGGGAAAAACCTCTCTGACCGAATAATCCCATTGGTTCTACTCTGCCTTCAGCTAACATCCATCCATTCTTTTCCCTGCTTCTTGAGAAACAGAGTGTGCTATCTATCATCTCTCTCCAGGCTGCTCCTCTACCAGCCTTCCACCGCCTCAGCTCTCACGTGTGCCCCTCACGTAGTGGAAGGCTGCCCCACCCTGGTCCACGCAGCAGCCTGCACCCTGCAATTCATAGCCCGAGTCCCCTACCTGGGAATCCCAGTGTCCAGGGCTCACATTAAGGAGGACTCAGAGGTTTGACCTTGAGATCTGGCGGCTCATGGCCTCCTGTTGCCCTGCAGAGCCTCAAGGCATCCTGGAGGTTGGGGCAACCTGGGCGCTCCCCTCGGTGGGAGTGGCTGAGGGAAGGAGGCCCCAGCAGCATGTGTGATGAGCCTGTGGCATCTGGAGTCACAGAAGAACAGGCAGCAGGCTCTATACTTGCTTTAAATGTACTAACTTTCCAGTTAGACATGTAATACATGATTATTGAATAAAATTTGGAAAGTATAAGATTCTATGAAGAAGACCCAAGTCACTCAATCTCACTACTTGGAATAACTTCCCACTGTTGTATTTCACCTCTGTGTGTGGGTTCCCATGTGGAGTGCCCGGGCCCATCGCCCCATGAGTGGTAACAAGATCACACGAATAAAAAAACCCAAATCCCAGGCCTCCAGGAGGAATCCACCATGGGGGCCGTCACCTGGCAGGTCTCACCCTGTCCCTGTGGAAGGAGTCCCCGCAGCTTCTGCCTGAGGCCGGCCTCGGAGGACTCAAACGTGAACCCTAGCAAGCATCCCTGTCTCCCACCCACTTTCTCACCCAAATGTCTGTGCAGGGTCCTCCCACCGCCCACCACATGCCCTCCTGCAGCCTGAGCTGGCTAGGCCTGCCCTCTGGCTCGTCACCTGCTCAGGGACGAGACAGTCTCGGCCTAGGCTCAGCATGGCCCCTGCTTCCAGCATCTTCAGAGTGCATTTACATAATGTGGCTGCTGCCAACATATCTGTGTCCTGCTCTCCCCACGATCGTTTTCCAGACTCAGCTCAGTTACATTTGCTTACCCCCCTCCTCCCCCTGCTCTGCAGCAAATTCAACCACCAGAACATCGTGCGCTGCATCGGAGTGAGTCTGCAGGCTCTGCCCCGGTTCATCCTGCTGGAGCTCATGGCGGGAGGAGACCTCAAGTCCTTCCTCCGGGAGACCCGCCCTCGCCCGGTGAGTCTCCGCAGTGCTTGTGCCAGGAACGGAGCAGGGCAACTGCGAAGCAACTCCTCGGGGGCCCAGGGAGTCAGCCCCTGGGCTTGGATGTGGGATATAGCCAGGAGAGAAGGAACAAAAGTGGGCAATGGCCCTGGGAGCTCATGCAAGGCCTGTGCAATGGATTCCCCAGTTGGGGTCCATTTGTATGGACTGCTGACTACAGACAGGCACAGAGAGGGACAGTCGTGCCAAACAGGTCACTCACCCAACCAGCTGAGGTGGGGCAGGTCAGTCTATATTCGTTCACCCTGAACCCCACTGTCATTTTGCAAATGAGTACATGCTGACCTTAGAGTTTTACTACCAAAATCAAGTACTGAAATTTCTAGGAAGGTGGTGGTGGTGGTGTGTGTGTGTGTGTGTGTGTGTGTGTGTGTGATAGTAAAAGGGCTAGAGACCTCGATGCATCCAGGAATGCCACACCCTAGCCCTGCTCGGCCATTACACAGCCTTGTGGCTTAGGGCAGACACCCAATCTAACCTCAGTATCTGCAAGATAAGGTCCAAGGGCTGGACTGGAACATCTCAGACATGGTCCTAAACTATAAAACGCAGCACACTGGGTGGGCCGGGAATCCAGCTACCCACTCTTGTCACTGCCGGGGTCTTTGGGAGGCCCTGGGCACCACGAACTGGAGCGGAGCAGACCCTGAGGTAGGCCCTGGCTTCTCAGGTGCCGCTGGTCTGTAAGGACTACAGGGAAGACTTGCACCCTCCCCACCCCCCAGAAAACAGGAACACAACAGACACCCCGCTACAGAAAACCCAGGACTGAACTTCTGCTCTCAGGGCCTCCAAGTGGCGGCAGAAACCTACTCCACCCCCACTGCCAATCAACCTCAATTTAGAACAGCTTAGCCTGAGGAGCCTCCACACTGTTCCTGGGAGTCCCTGGGGGGCCCACGTTGGCATTTAAGAATCCCATCGGACTCCTCGGAAGATGAGTGTGTGTGTGCACCAGAGCACGCCTGGCAGAAGGCTGTGGGCAGAAAGAAAGACCAGCCCCGTGGTCAGCACACTGCGGCTCGCGAGCCACATGCAGCTCTTTGGCCCCTTGAGTGTGGCTCTTCCACAAAATACCACGGCCTGGGCGAGTCTCTTTTGAAGAAGTGCCGTTAGAAGAAGTTTAAGTTTTAAAAAATTGGGCTCTCCAAAGAAATTTCAATCGTTGTCCTGTTGATATTTGGCTCTGTTGACGGAGTCCCGGGGAGGCCCTGATGGGTGCCAGAGGAACTCCCAGCTGACATCTAGGTAACTCCTCGTTCATGTGGAATCAGCTTCCCCCAATATGTATTGAACCATTGCAGTGGTTTGCCAACCACTGGACTAGCCCATTTCATAGGTGATCCTCATTAGAATTGTTAATCCTCCTCATAGCTTTCACGTTTCTCAGAACCACTCCGTGAAGTAAACAGCACAACCTTTCTCAGCTGAGAACACTGTGACTCTGAGAGGGCCTCGCAGGAAGTGGGAGAGCTGGAACCGGAACTCGAGACCATGCCTCCTCATTCACTGCTTTTCTCAACCCACTGTGCTCTTCATCCCAGTGCTCCCCTTTGGGAAGCTATGGACTGTCAAGGAGAGGTTCTGTCACTCAGAGCCAAGCCTGTGAGCCATTCGGGCATCTCTGCCAGGGTCTGAGCACTGACCTCACGGCTTTTCCATCACCACCCACCAAGGCGGAGCCCCCAGCCTTGTGGCTGAGATTCTCAGCGGAGCTGGCAGAAGTCTAACGGGGCACGTGTGGCATGCACTTCGGGAAGAAGCACGACTCTGGTTTTCTCACTGGGCATTCCTGAGGCTTGAGGAGAAAACATATCGTGCTTGCAGAGGAGAGCTCGGGGATCTGGGCAGGAATCTGGGAGCCCATATTATTATAGATCCTGTAAGTCTTGGCAAGTCTTAGATCCTGTACTTGGACTTGAACTGGGCACGGAAGGCAGGGCCTGATGTTCCATGGACAAAGTGTCCCCTCCTGTCGTCTGCCCCGGGGATGAAGTGTGACTCCCCTCACCTCCCCCAGCCCACTCTGTTGCTCCAGGGAGTCCCGGGGAGGCCCTGATCGGTGCCAGAGGAACTCCCAGCAGACATCTAGGTAACTCCTCGTTCGTGTGGAATCAACTACCCCCAATATGTATTGAACCACTGCAGTGTGCCACGCCCTGTGCTGGTACCATGGAGGTGGCCCCTCCTGGCTTCCTATCATTCGGGGTTCCCAGCCCCAGCTGCACTGTTCCTCACCTGCGGTGCTGTGAAGCTTGCAGGCGCTGCACCCACCTGGAGTGATTGGTTTACTGGTGGGGCTGAGGCCCCAGCATCCCTATTGGTTTAAACCTGTCAGGTGATTTTCTAATGGGAAGCCAGGCTGGGACCGAGGAACAGCAAGTCCAGGTTTGGCCTCCTTGGGAGCACTTGAACTTGTGTTTCAGGTCTTCTCTCCCCCGATAGCCTCTCACCAGTCGATCATGTCTGCCTCCCCACAGAACCAGCCCTCCTCCCTGGCCATGCTGGACCTGCTGCACGTGGCCCGGGACATTGCCTGCGGCTGCCAGTACTTGGAGGAAAACCACTTCATCCACCGGTGAGTCCATGCGCCCTGCTCGCCTCCCGCCTTCTGCTGCTTCTTTACCCATCTCAGGCCCAGCTCTCCCTTCGGCCGCAATGATGGGTCTCCCTCCAGTGAGGACTCAGCTTTCTTTGTCTTTACGGTGACAACTTACTCTGTCAGGGCTTCCCTCACCCCGTATGTAAAACGGGTATCAAAATACCCACCCCTGCCTGTGTCTGGAAGTGAAACCTTCAAGTCCTATATCACTGGAACGCTCCCTCTTGCCCGCCGTTGTGACTCTGTGATTGAGTGTTGACCTAGGAACCAGAAAGTCGTGGTTTGCTTCCCTGGTTTGGGGCTCAATTCCCAGTGTGGGGCGTCCAGGAGGCAACCGATCAATGATTCTCTCTCATCATTGATGTTTCTATCTCTCTCTCCATCTCTCTTTCTCTCTGAAATCAAGAGAAATATATTAATTAAATAAAATTAAAACTGAGCTCCTTAAGGCCCATTAAAGGAGTTCCTAGTTTCACACACTTGACTGTGAGTGCTCAAAGGTGAGGACCCTATTTTATTCATCTCTGACACATAGTGTATCCCTGACACATAGTGAGGCATAAGGAAGGTTTGTTAGATAAATTAATTTTTCTGAAATAACCTGAAATGAGCATAATGATTATTTGATTTATTTAAACACCTGACTTCTACTCCGCTGGATCCTTATGTTTCAATGGTGTTTGGGCTCCAACCCAAGGCCACGGGCTGTGCTGTAGGCATCAGAGCACGCTGATCTGTCCGCTGGCTGCGGGGGACTTTCTCAGCCAACAGCTTAATTCTGAAATCCGAAAAGTCCAAGAGGTTGTCGACTCTTTGCAAAGCTCTTCCTAACGATTTCCTTCCAATTTCATAAGTAACAACCCGGTGAATTAACAATTATGTGTTAGCTCAAGTCTCCAAAGGGGATAGGCATAGCCCTAATCATTAGAATATTAAATACAAAGTAGAAACGAGAAGTGCCGCCTGAGGCTGGAAATGGAAGAGCATGGACATAGCAGGAAGTTATGCCCGCTCCCTAATGAGAATGGGGAATTGGAGATCAAGGCACACACGCATCTGGCTGCCCAAAGTTATTCCCAAAACCAGGCTGCACACTCTCACCTGGCCTAATCTTGTACTGTCACATCACCTCTGGTCTTCAGTCCTTCCTCTTGATTCTAAACCTTCCCAGTCTCCGGGTGACTTTTCCTGATGGAAACAGCAGAAGCAGAGAGGAGCGGGGGCCAGGCCTCTCTGTTCTCCAAAGCCACAGCCCCTGCTTCAGAGCGCAGGTCAGCCTGCCGTGTCTTTCTTGCCCTGTGTGCCACAACTTTGCCTGCATCTCGGCTCTTTACTGTCGCTTGGGCATGACACAGCTGCGCCCTTTGTGGCATTCGTCCTTGGTTACAGCCCCCTTTGCATCGATGTCTATGTCCTTGACAACTGGACTCATCCAAGAGTGACCTGTGCAGTCACCTTGGTGCCTTCTGATGTCCCCGTTTGCTTCTCCCCGAGAGCATCTCTGCCTTGTCATCACCGAGCAGACACACTTCCTGGCCGAGGGATCCCATCCATCTTTCCTCCGACGTGTTGAAACCTGCTTCCCTGGAGCCATGACACCTGGGCCCATATCCAGGGCTCTGTTATTAGAGATGATAAGATAACAGGGCCCCATTCTCTCCGGATCTCCATCACCTCCGTATCTGTGAAGAGTTACTGAAGGTCAGAATTTGATCCCAGAGTAATAGCATGTTGCTCCTTTTATCTCTTTTGAGAAATGAAATTGTCAGAGATAAATCAAGAATGTATCACATGATCTGCTTTATAAGCAAAAGGCGACTTCTGGCAGAAATTGACTGTCTCAATCCAGGCTTTTCTTCTGGGGAACGTGGTAATAGGAAAGCATCTTTTGCATCTCCAGTGGGCTGCATGGTCTGTGGCGCATGCCCACAAAAGGATCACCTCTTATTCTCTCTCCTCCACCCTTTATCTGCCCCCCGATTCCCAGGCTCCCATGCAAGGGCACCCCCTGAATTCAGAGTGAACACCCCACACACTCCCATTTTCTAGGTCTGTTTCCTTTGATTGTAGTTTATTACCACTTCACGAATTATGTGTCATGCTACCAGTTCCTGGTGTGTTCTAGGATACTGTATTTACTTTCTTGCCATTACATTCAAGATCACTTTTTGAAGCAACCATTCCAGGCACATCAGCGTAAAGACCTTTCTGGAGCCATACATACTGTCCCTGCTCTACTTCACTGTATTTCTCTTAAGAAGTAATGGCTATCTACCCCACTATTTTTCTTCTTTTTGGTGTCATGCATGTTATGCTTCTATGGTTTTATTAGGGCATCTTATGCACCGTTGCTCCTCGAAATTCAACTTAAACCTCTGGGTCAGGAAAGTGGCGTCAACAACATCCGTTTCCCTCCCTGGCCCACCGTTCCGGTTTCCTAAGCCACAATTTCCAACCCAGACCTGTTTTTAAAGCACTCTACAGTTGTTTATTCTGCGCGTGCTTCTCGATCAAAGACCAGGACCTTCAAGAAATCAGTCAGAAACAGGCAAGCCCCAGCTGCGGCCCGCAAGGACCGCTGCTTGTTCCTGCCCTGGACTTGTTAGGCCACCCCAGACTCCTCTGGCTGTACCTGCTCCCACAGAGGGGGGGGGGGGAGACAGTCAGTGGCAGGAATGCGAGGCCTCTGGCTATGCCTTAGGATGCTGCTGGCAGATAGACCATCTGGCACTCAACAGAGAGGAGAATGTGGCTCCAGAACCCGGAAGAGGGGTTTCTTCAGCCACTGGCTAGGGGGCAGGCAGCTTACCAAAAGCTTTGGAGGAGCTGAAACCAGTTTGGCTCAGTGGATAGAGCATCGGCCTGCGGACTGAAAGGTCCCAGGTTCGATTCTGGTCAAGGGCACGTACCTTGGTTGCAGGCACATCCCCAGTGTGGGGATGTGCAAGAGGCAGCTGGTCGATGATTCTTTCTCATCGATGTTTCTGGCTCTCTATCCCTCTCTCTTCCTCTCTGTAAAAAATCAATAAAATATATATTTTTTTTAAAAAGCTTTGGAGGAAATTCTGGATGGAAGAACCATAATCGCCGATTAACAAGGACAACCATAGCTATGTGGGCATGCCTTAGCCTGCTTGAATTTGGTAGCATGGAAGCCATGCTGTTCTAGAAGACGCCTTCAAACAGCTGGCAGGAACCAAGCTGTATACACAGTAGCTTCAGGATGCCTTGGTCCCTCTAGTACCTGCGTTTAGCGTAATTTGTATAATGAGATGAAGATAATAATAGCACCCTTTACCTCATAGGGCTGTTGTGAGAATTAGCTATGAAGCACTTAGAACAGTGCTTAGTACATAGTAAAAGGCCAGTACATTCTAGTTTCTATTATAGTTATTTTCATGTTAGTGTCCTAATAAACGTTTCCAATCATCTCCCTAAGTGTTTCCCATTTCCCTTGAGTCCGGAGGCCCAGAATTGGCGCGGCTGTGTCTTTCCTACTGAAGTGTAATGCAGTCAAGGAAACACAGAGTGGAGGGAGAAACTACTCGACCTTCTGATGAGAGTGAAAATCCTAGTGCTGAGACGACACGTGTATTCCTCCCAGGGGAATAAGGACCTGTGTTTCCCATTCATTTGTCCAGGGACATTGCCGCCAGGAACTGCCTCTTGACCTGTCCGGGCCCCGGAAGGGTAGCCAAGATTGGGGACTTCGGAATGGCCCGGGACATCTACAGGTGAGCAAAGACCGGGTCAGCTTCTCAGCCCAGCCCTCAGGAGGACGGGGTGTGGCTGCTTGTGTCCTAAATCATCGCTGGCCCCTTGTGAGCTTACTGCCTAAAGTTTCATTAAGTTCCTTTGCGGGGTGTGGGAAACCTTAGTGCCCTCACTCGACAGTCTAAATCCAGGATCCCACTGCCCACCATGACTGACACCAAGTTCTTCACTAGATCGTCTCCAGTTTCATTGCTCTAATCCTAACACACTCTGAGACACAGTAACTGGGATGCGCGATATGGAAGGAGTTTCTATGTAAACGTTAACTCGGGAATCCCAAGCGGCCTTAGTTTCCATGGCCAGAGCATCCCAGAACTAGCCGGATGCCGGGCCCAGCTCACGGGTCGACCTTACCCACACAAGGAGACACGGAGTGTAGCTCAGAGCCCATAGGTACATTCTTTTTCCCGTAAAATTCTCAAGACTATATTTTAAAACATAACTTTTTTTAAAATTTCTTTATTGATTAAGGTATCACATATTTGTCCTCAACCCCCTATTCCAATCCCCCACCCTCACCCTCACTCATGCCTCCACCCCCCTATTGTCCTCGGCCACTGGTTAGGCTCATATGTGTGCACATAAGTCCTTTGGTTGATCTCTCCCTTTTATCCCCACTCTCCCTTTGAGGTCCAACAGTCTGACCCATGGCTCCAGGGTTCGAGGTACTAATATAAGTAATTGGGGTAACACAAATCTGGGGAAAATTTTAATCACGTAAGGATATTCTTTTAATTATAAAACTACTTGTATTGCACTTTATCTCACATTACTTCCTTATCTAATCATTCACAACAGTGACCTGCTCCCTGAGTCGAGCAAGCCACTCTGTGTGTGTTCGCTACGCACGTGCCTAACCCAGAGAGAGAGCAGGGAGGCCACTCAGGGCTCTTAGTGTCGGAGGGTTAGGGAGTCCCCTGAGGCCTCCTCCGAACTAGCTGCCATCGGCGGGGGAGAAGACCGGTGCCATGCTTTGCCAGGGAGCAGCTCGGGGAAGATTCTGAGTTAGCAATATTCTTCACCACAGTCATCAGCCGCTGGTCTCCACCACGTTACCTTGGTTTGTTGCACTCTACCTTCTTTTGCTACCCAAAGTCTCGGGGTTCCCTCCCCTCCTTTCTCAGAGGACCCCGGAGTGCCTGTGGCTTAGTGAGCCCTTCCCCTCCATCCTAGCTCTCACAGCCCCTCTACCCGCCTGCCCCAACTCCAGGCTTCACCCCCAACCTGTCCCAAGGCTCCCACACGCACTGCAATCTCACCTTCGGTGTTCTAGGGGAGCTTCATCACCATCAGCCCTTCCCCTGCCCCCCCCCCGCCCCCGCCTGTGAATCACTTCCTGTCCCGCCCCACCCCGAGCAGAACATCAGTTCTTCGCCTGTGTCACCGAGCCCTGCACTCTCCCTCACTACACGCTGCCCTGTGCTGCACGGGTTCTTGCGTCTGTTCCTCCCACCAAACCCTTTCCTCGGAAGGCTCATTTACGTCCTCACCACAGAGCACCTGACACACTCTCAACACTCAGTATTGTTTGTTGAAGTGATTAACAAAGCGAGGCAGCTGGTCGGAGGGCTGACTCCCACGGTGGCAGGAGAGCACAGGCCAAGGGCGGAGCTGGTGTCAAAGGCCGGGAAGGTAATTAATTCGTTTTCATCAGTGACTTGCACTCATGACATCACCGGCAAAAGATAATAAATTAGCTCGTACCTTTGAAGCCCGCTGCACCTCGACACTGTCCCGGCCGCTGCCTGGCGTGTTTGTCGGGTGCTAGTGTTGACCTAACACCGCGTGGCATTAGGAGGAAGCCGAAGCCAGGGGGACACAGCCCTGCCGCCCGTGCTCCCATGTGGCCTCCCATTCCTGGGGCTCAGCAGGAGCAGGCGGCAAGGCCACTGCTGGGGTGACGTTGCTCACTGTGAGCTACAGCAAACGCAGCCCGGCAGGGAGATCGCGCCGTCCTCGGTGGGTGTGTAGTCATTGTCTAGAATTCAGGCGTCCTCAAACTTTTTAAAGTGGGGGCCAGATCACGGTCCCTCAGAGAGCTGGAGGGCCGGACTATATGAACTACTAATTCCTACTGTAACACCTCGGCTGCGCTCACTGCCCAAAAAACCTGGCGGGCCGGATCAGACTCCTCTGTGGGCCGCATGTGGCCCGTGGGCCGTAGTTTGAAGACGCCTGTGCCTATATGCCTCCGGTGGGCAGTTTTGTGTGTGATTAAATGACAATGTTTTTAACCAAATGATTTGTTCCCCGCTCTCCTGAACCACAGGCCTTGCTGGCTTCGGTCCTTTTATGGGTAGGTGGTTGCACTTGCTCAAGTTGCCTGGAGCTTCTGCTCAGAGCCGTCCCCGGAACCAAGTTCACTTTTCCTCTCCTCCCCCGCAGAGCGAGCTACTACCGGAAGGGCGGCTGTGCGATGCTGCCAGTGAAGTGGATGCCCCCAGAGGCCTTCATGGAAGGAATATTTACATCCAAAACAGACACGTGGTGAGTCTCTGCTGCCCTCCCCAGGTCCGCCGTGGGCCTTGGGTGGTGATCCCACCCCTCAGCAGGAGGCCCTGTGTCAGCACACCGTCCCCCAGCCGCTCATCAGAAAGGCTCCTTAAAGCAGATCGCTGGCCCTCCCTGAGAGTTTGTGACTCAGGAGATCTGAGGATCTGCCTGTCTTACAGGTTCCCAGGGGCGCTGATACTGCTGGCCGGGGGGTGCACACACGGAGAGCACACGTAATTTTTTTTTATTTTTTTACATAACAAAGTTGGATTTGAATTTATTCCAGGAGTGCAACATTGAGTTGGGATTAGAAAACTGAGCAATAAAATTCTGCACATTAACAGAATAAAGGAGAAAGGAGCAGGGGCACTGAAGGGCTGCTGACCGTAGTGGTGAGACCCTTCCTACAGCTAAAGATAAGCTGGACATTGCTGTCTGCACATCAGCTCTGCAGACTCAGCCACTCCACAGGCCTACAGCTGTGTGCCCCCAGCTCCGGCACCCACCATCCTGCCCTCTGCTTCTGTAATGCCACACGTCCGTGGGATCATGCAGAATTTCTCTCTCCATGGCCTGCTGATTTCACTTAACATAATGCCCTCCAGGTTCACCCAGGTTCTCAAAGAAGTCAGATTTCCTTCTCTTTAAGGGTTAAAATAACACACACACACAGATGAATAAAGAAAAGGCGATGTGTGTGGTATATATACACGTGTGTGTATATATTTATGTATTAATATATGTATTAGTGTGTATGTGTTAGGATATTAATCTAGACATTTAGTAATTATTATATTGTTTAATAAAAAAGTTAGGTAAGTAGGTAGATGATAGATAGATAGATAGATAGATAGATATCACCTTTTCTTTATCCTTTCATCCACTGACACTTAGGTGTTTCCATATGTTGGCTCTTGTGAATAACACTCAGTGAACATGGAGTGCAGGCATCTCTTTGAAATACTGATTTGTTTCTTTGGCTAGATCCCCAGAAAGGAGGTTGCTAGGTCATAAGGTAGGATTGCTGGGTCTGTTTTTAGCTTTGGCTTAACCCAGTAGTCAGCAAACTGCGGCTCGCAAGCCATGGTGTGCCGCTCAGTTGACTGAGTTTGCCAACCACTGGCTTAACCCAATGGATCTCAAAGTGAGGTCTGTGGATCAGCAGCACCTGCACCACCTGGGAACTTGTTAGAAGCAAATTCTCAGGCGCCACCTCCGGCTATGGAAGCAGAACGCTATGGGTGAGCCCCGCACTCGTGTTTTAACAAACCCCCCGGTGATTCCTGTGTGCACCAGCATTAGAGCACCTCAACCCATCCCATCCAGACACAGAGAGTAATGCAGCTAATTAAATCCTTATTCTGAACACATGCACATCCTATTTCCCCGTGATCTTAGTTCTAAGTGTCTAGAGTAGGGGTGTCGAACTCAATCAGAGAAGGGGCCAAAATCTAAAATCCAGCCTAAATCGCGGGCCAAATGGTCTACTGAACAGTCATAAACTGTCATTGTGATGGAAGCGCAGTGGAGTGCAGTGATGACAGTGTGGTGCGGGCCACATTGCAAGGCCTGGCGGGACGGATTTGGCCCGCGGGCCTTGTGTTTGACACATGTGGTCTAGAGAGAGCATGACACAAATAGACTTGAGTAAGAATGTTCATTTCAACATCATTCACAATAGAGAAAAAGCTATAACAGGCTAATGTCCCTCATATAGAGGATAAAAAAACAAGCTGTGGTTTACTTATGTCATGGGGAATTACTCAGCAGTATGAGAGCACACCCTGTACTCACATACATCAACATGGGTGAATTCCAAAATGACATTTAGGAGTTCCAAAAAGGGACAGAATGTTACCTAATTTTAATACAAACATTAAGTCCATAATACAGAAACTATTGTTTACTAGAGGCCCGGTGCACAAAATTCATGCATGCCTGCACCCTCTCCAATCTGGGACCCCTTGAGGGATGACCAAACCACCCGTTTAGGCTCAATCCCAGTGGTCCATCCCAACTGTCCTCCACTGCAAGCCTAGTCTCCCCCCCCCCCAACTGCCCTCTCCTGTAGTCCTGGGTCCCCCTGAACTGCCCTCCCCTGCAGACCTGGGTCCCCTACCTCTAACAGTTCTTCCATGCAGGCCTACTCCCCCCCCCCCCCGCAACTGACCTCCCCTGCAGGACTGCCCCCCCCAACTGCCCTCCCCTGCTGGCCTGGTCCCCCCAACTGCCCTCCCCTACAGGCCTGTTCTCCCCACAAATGCCCTCAATTATAGGCCTGGTCATCCCCAACTGCACTCCCCTGTAGTCCTGATCCCCCCCCCCCCAACTTTCCTCCCCTGCAGGCCTGGTCTCCCCCAACTGCCCTCCTCTGCTGGCCCAGTCACCCCTGACTACCCTCACTGCTGGCCTGATTGCCCAGAACTGCCCTCCCTTGCAGTCCTTTTTCCCCCCAACTGCCCTCCTCTGCAGGCCTGGTTCCCCACAACTGCCCGCCCATGCTGCCCTGGTCTCCCTCCCCCAACTGCCCTCATCTGCTGTCCTGTCCCCCCCCCCAAAAAAAAATGCCATCTTCTGCAGGCCTGGGTTCCTCCCAACTGCCCTCCCCTGCAGGCCTGGTCCCCACCCAACTGCTCTCCCCTGCAGGCCTGGGTCCCCCACAACTGCCTGCCCATGCTGTTCTGGTCTTCCCCTCCTCTGTACTGTCCTGCCCTGCAGGCCTGGTCTCCCCACAACTGTTCTCCACTGCTGGCTTGCCCCCCTGCCCCAACTTCCCTCCCCTGCTGGCCTGGTCTGTCCCAACTGCCCTCCTTTCCTGGCCTGGCCACCCCTCCCCCCCCCCACTGCCCTCCTCTGCTGGCCTAGTCAACCCTAACTGCCCATAACTGACCTCCCCTGCAGGCCATCTTGTGGCAGCCATCTTGTGTCCATACGGGGGCAGCCACCTTTGGCCACATGGGGGCGGCCATCTTGTGTCTTGGAGTGATGGCCAATTTGTATATTACCCTTTTATTAGATAGGATACTTTCACACACTGAGAAGTGCATACATGGAAGGAGACATGCTAACTTCAGGAAAGGGGAAAGAGCAGGAATAGGGTGGAGGGTGGGGCTTGCCTATATCTATTTTATTTCTTCAAAATGAGGGAGAACTGTCACAAAGCAAAATATCAACATCTAGAAACAGGTACCTATTTTTTCCTTTTTGAAGTTTAGATTGCTTCAAAAAATGTTTTAAGAAGCAAGTAAGTCACATAACTTCAGATGCTAATAAGAGCTATGGAGAGAGTGAAGCGGCCCCCAGAGCAGGCTGCTTCAGGGTGGGGGTCGGAGTAGGGGTGGGGGTAGGGGTGGCGGTAGGTGAGGGAGGTGTGGAAGGCTCCGGAGGACAGGCATGCCCACACTGAATGGCAGCGAGGTGCCCCTGGGGAGGTCTGGGGAAGGCTTTCCAGGCTGTGTGCCAGGAACAGGGACGAAAACAAGTCTTCCAGCAGGAGTGGGATGGCAGGGCAGGCAGGAAGGCCTTGGGACCCAGGCTGGAGGCTCCAGATGCTGATTCTATTCTGAGCACAATGGGAGCCACTGAAGAGTTAGAAGCAAGAGTGTGACATGATCACTTCAAAAAAGAAAAACCACTTGCTGCCATTGAAAACAGACTAGAGTAGGACAGGTGAAGAGGGGAAACCATTCGGAAAATACTGCTCATTCCTAGGTAAGAGGTGAGAGGGACTGGGCCTCGGGGTGGCAGTGGACGCTTTCAGAGGGGTCCAGTTCAAGCTCGGTCATGAGTAGTTAGGGAATAGGATTCTGGCCACTGGTACTGAGTGGGTGTGGGAGGGAAACAGGACACTGACCACTGGTGTGGAGTGGGTGAAGGAGAGAGTGGTGATCAAGGACGATGCCCACGTCTGCAGTGTGAGCCAGTAATGAGCGATGGTGCCACTGAGCTGGAGAGAATGAAGTAGGAGCTGGTGGTGCAGAGAGAACCCTGGGTGTTGGTGAGCGTCGGGTGCATTCTTGTGCGAGGCTGGCTGATGGTCAGAGTGACGCATTTGGAAATCAAGTGGAGAGTGTGTGTCAAGTGGAGAGTGTTGGTATTCTGACCTAGTCATTTCATTGGAATTATTCTAGAACTTACTAGGTTATTCTAGCACTAAATTCAGGGAATTTATATTAAGCAAACTGTCCTATTAAAAAAATGCAAACATGTTTATTATAGTATTCTAAATATTTAAAAATTTTTAAATAAGGCAAATATGACAGAACTACTTAGTGGGAATTTTTATAGCCATTTGAAATGCTAGTTACAAAATGTTTTTATTAGCATGGAAATGTTATGCTATAATGGAATTTGGGGGGGGGGGGGAAATCAAGTTTCAGAAGGCCCTAGCTGGTTTGGTTCAGTGGATAGAGCATCGGCCTGCAGACCAAAGAGTCCCGGGTTCGATTCTGGTGGACACATACCTAGGTTGCAGGCTCCTCCCTGGCCTGGGCCCTGGTTGAGGCTCATGCAAGAGGCAACCAATCAATATGTTTCTCTCACATGGATGTTTCTGTCTTTCCCTCTACCACTCTCTGAAAATCAAGGGTAAAATATTGAGTGAGGATTAACAAAAGGGGAAAAAAAAAATCTGAGCACAGAAACTTGACTAGAACCAAAAACAACAAGATGCTAATAATGGTTATCTTTTTACAGAGCATCATATGTGGCTTTCTCATTTATCCATATTAACAATTAGAAGCCCAGTGCACAAAATTCGTGCATGGGATGGGGGGTGTCCCTCAGCCCAGCCTGTACCCTCTCCAATCTGGGACCCCCTCGAGGGATGTTCAACTACCCATTGGGATCAGGTCTAAATGGGCAATCGGACATCCCTCTCATAATCCAGGACTGCTGGATCCCAACTGCTCACCTGACTGACTTCTTGATTGCCCCTAACTGCTTCTGCCTGCCAGCCTGATCACCCCCTAACCACTCCTATGCCAGCCTGATTGATGTCTGCTTCCCTGCTAGCCTGTTTGACCCCAACTTCCCTCCTCTGCTGGCCTGCTCACCCCTAACTGCTTTCCCTTGAAGGATTGATTGCCCCTATCTGTCTGTTCTCCCTTGCAGACCTGGTCCCTCTCAACTGCCCTCCCTTGCAGGCCTGGTGCCTCCCAACTGCCCTTTCCTGCTGGCCATCTTGTGTCCACATGGGGGCAGGATCTTTGACCACATGGAGACAGTTATCTTGATCTTGTGTGTTGGAATGATGGTCAATCTGCATATTACTTTTTATTAGATAGGATAGAGGCTTGGTACATGGGTGGGGCAAGTTGGTTTGCCCTGAAGGGTGTCCTGGATCAGGGGGTGGGGGGTGGGGGTTCTCTTGGGGTGTGAGGGTGTGAGGTGTCCTGGGCGGGGGGGGGGGGGGGGGGGGAAGGTGTCTGTGGTGGTTTGTAGGCCAGCCACACTCCCTGGTGACCCAAGCAGAGGCCCTGGTATCTGGAATTTATTTACCTTCTACAGTTGAAACTTTGTAGCCTGGAGTGGAGCCAAGTCTCCTGCTTGCTCCATGGCTGCAGCCATTTCTGTTTGGATTTGTTTATCTTCTATAATTAAAACTTCGTATCCTTGAGTGGAGGCCTAGGCTGGCCAGGGTGTGTGGAAAGCTTGGCTTCCTCTTTTGCTGGGGAAACCCAAGCCTCTCAACTCCTCTCTGTGGCTGCAGACATCTTGGTTAGGGTTAATTTGCATACTTGTTCTGATTGGCTGGTGGGTGTGCCTGGCGGGTGTGACTTGTGGGTGTAGTAGAGTGATGGTTATTTTGCATATTACTCTTTTATTAGGTAGGATTCTCTGTTCTGGAATGTGTGTAATAAATTAAAATTTTACATCTTTGTATGTGTATATACATGTGTGTCCATGTGTCCATATGTGTATCCATGTATGTATTCATGTGTGCATGTGTGTATGTGTGTTTATCCACATCCATGTCTTCTGTCCTCTGCACAGGTCCTTTGGAGTGCTGCTGTGGGAAATATTCTCTCTTGGATACATGCCATACCCCAGCAAGAGCAACCAGGAGGTCCTGGAGTTTGTCACCAGCGGAGGACGGATGGACCCCCCGAAGAACTGCCCTGGGCCTGTGTACGACTCTTTTTTTTATTATTAATTTCTTTATTGATTAAGGTATCACATATTTGTCCTCAACCCCCCATTCCAATCCCCCACTCCCCTTCATACCCCCACTCCCCTATTGTCCTTGACCACTGGTTAGGCTCATATGTGTGCACATAAGTCCTTTGGTTGATCTCTCCCTTTTATCCTCACCCTCCCTTTGAGGTCCAACAGTCTGACCCATGGTTCCTTATCTCTGGGTCTGTTCTTGTTCATCAGTCTATGTTGTTCACCATTTAGGAGCATTTCTACAAGTTCCTAAGCAGTTCTTTTCAAAGCATGTGCAGCCCCATGTGCTTTGTTAAGGTGAAAGGGCAGGTGGCTGGCTTCCCTTAATGTGCCCGAGATAGGAATATGTCTGTGACTCCAGTGGGATGGGTTCATCTTCCAGCCCCAAAAGCAGTAACTTCAACCCCAAAAAGATGTCCTTCGGCTGGCTGAAGGCCGTGGGCTCACCAAGCTCACACTCCTCAAAGAATGTGTGCCCTGGCCTCCACCCCTTCTATCCAAACACCATTGTACTTGAGTCCCCTAAATACAGGGTGGGGCAAAAGTGGGTTTATGTTTGTTCCTAATAGAAGAATAACCTCTGTGCTTTGCATGCTCAAAACTGTAAACCTACTTTTGCCCATTCCCCACATTTTCTGCTGTCCTGTCTGGCACCCCTCACTTGCTAGCCACAAGCAAGGCAGATGGGCAATCTATGCTAATAAAAGAGTAATAAGCTAATTAGGGTGGACGTCTTCCAGGCATCCATCTGGACAAAGCCACAGCAGCTGCGAAGCCTAAGGCTCATGGCAACCGTGGGTTCATGACAGCCATGGTTCAGGCAGCTGTGAGCCCCGGTGGCTGCAAGGTCCAGGGCTCAGGCCTTGCAGCTGTCGCAGCCGGCAGTGGCAGCAGCAGTGGAGTGATGGGGGTGGCGTCTTCTCCTGATCGGCCTGGTCACCTCCCACAGAGGACATCCCCTGGGGGCTCCGGACTGTGAGAGGGGGCAGGCTGGGCTGAGGGACCCTCACCTCCCAGTGCATGAATTTTTGTGCACCAAGTCTCTCGAATAATCAGAATATTCCTCCTTAGAGGTGACTTTAACTCAGGAATGGAATGAGAGGGCCATGTTTAATGGGAACACAGGATGGTTGTGTTCATGGCTTTGGCGTTATCTTCTACACTTGGCATGCATGATTCCTTGACCTATCAGCAGAGGGCAGCATATGCCAACCACATGGGACCTCGAGTTACCATCCTCAAAGGCATTGCCACCCCCAGTCCCACTTAGAAAAACGTGGGGGGAAGAAATGTATGTTTTATCCTTGTTTCTCCTGGTTTTAATGAATGTGCTGGTCCTTCTTTCAGATATAGGATAATGACCCAGTGCTGGCAGCACCAGCCGGAGGACAGGCCCAACTTTGCCATCATCCTGGAGAGGATTGAATACTGCACGCAGGTACAAACATGCCCCCTTGTCAGCGTCTGTGTGGAAACATCTTAATGATGGCCAATGCCGGAATGTGAAATAAACGTTAAACTGGCCAGAAAAATGTGAGTTAGGATCATGAGAAGGAATGTTATCTATAAGGTAAAATGATTGGGCTCTCAGTTTGCAAGTTTTATAGTTAATATTAGTAGCTGCTTTCTTCAGCAGCTCGCGGCATGTGGCTGAAAGATAGTAGGGGATCAGTTCAATTCAACTAAATGCCTCCAAGGCACCTAATGTTTTATTGAATAAAACTGGATCTTCAGGGAAATATGGAAAACCCCTGCTCTCCAAGCGTATACCCTCTTAAAAACAGATGGCTCTATATGAGCACATTTTAAAACATATACCTTTATTGATTTTAGAAAGGGAGAGGGAGAGATAGAAACATCAGTGAAGAGAGAGAATCATGAATCGGCTGCCTCCTGCACGCCCCCCTCTGGACATCAAGCCCTCAACCCTGGCATGTGCCTTGACTGGGAAGTGAACCATGGCCTCCTGCCTGGTTCATGGGTCTTTGCTTAACCACTGAGCCACAACAGCTGGGCTGTCTGAGCACATTTTGAATGACTCACTATAGACATCAATAATTAACAGAGAAGCTAAAATATAAATGAGAATCAGAAGGTAGTTATTTTTTATTCTTAAACTCTTTACTGATGAATACTAGGTCAATGTGCTTTCTGTTAAACTGCAGTCATGGTTGTCCCAAATTGCATAAAACATTAAAGACTCAAATTTCGCCAAGTTTAAATTTCCTCCCACAAATTTTTCTCAAATCTCTGGCAACTGCTTTTGCCTATTACATTCCGTGGCCATAAGTATGATCTGTGGACGAAAAGAGCACAGAGTTGGTGTGTAAATGGTTTTCCTCGCAGCGTTTCAGCATTTCCTGGGGTTCACAAAGGGCCATCACAGCCAGACTAGAGGCACTGCTCTGTGACATTTGACATGTAACAACATGAAAAATAAATCACCCACCCAAACATGAGGAAAGCGGGACATAGCCAAGAAGAGAGAAACCTTGTAAACCAACATGGGATGGTGTGTCTCCTCCATCCTCCCCCCCCCCCCCCCCCCCCCGGCCCCATTTCACATACACAAACTTGAAGTCAAACACAGAGTTCTCTTTTTAGAAAGATTTTATTTGGAATAATAATTTTTTTAATATATTTTATTGATTTTTTTTTTTTTACAGAGAGGAAGAGAGAGGGATAGAGAGTTAGAAACATCGATGAGAGAGAAACATCAATCAGCTGCCTCCTGCACACCCCCTACTGGGGATGTGCCCGCAACCAAGGTACATGCCCTTGACTGGAATCAAACCTGGGACCCTTCAGTCTGTAGGCTGATGTTCTATCCACTGAGCCAAACCGGTTTCGGCTCAATTTGCATCTTACTCTTTTATTAGTGTAAATGTTTTTATTGGTTTTTAGAGCAAGAGGAAGGCAGAGGGAGAGATAGAAACATCGATGAGGGAGAAACACCAATATCAATCAGCTGCCTCCTGAACACCCCCTGCTGGGGATCGAACCAATGACCTCTTGGAGGATGGTTGATGCTCAACCATTGAGCTACGTTGGCCAGGCTCCCGTTGGTTTCTTAATCCCCAGTGCCTATAAATTAACATATTCCCAATAAACACTGAATGGTTTCCTCATCAGTAAAGTAAGTTTGGGTGAGATCATTGTTCAGGTATCTTCCAGATCCAACATTTCGTGTCTGTGATTGAGTTCTAATCAGCTCCTTTCTCCTCCCTGCAGGACCCAGATGTGATCAACACGGCTTTGCCAATAGAATACGGCCCACTCATGGAGGAGGAGGAGAAAGTGCCCGTGAGGCCCAAAGACCCTGAGGGAATCCCTCCTCTCCTAGTCTCTCCCCCGACAGGGAAAGGGGGGGACAAGCAGGACCCAGCTGCCCCGGCCCCCCTGCCCTCCACTTCCTCGGGCAAGGCGGTGAGGAAGCCACCGGCGGCAGAGGTCAACGTTCCAGTGGCCAGAGGGCCGGCCGTGGGAGGGGGACACGTTAACATGGCTTTCGCTCAGTCGAACCTGCCGCCATCCGAGCTACACAAAGTCCAGCGATCCCGGAACAAGCCAACCAGCCTGTGGAACCCCACGTATGGCTCGTGGTTCACAGAGAAGCCTGCCAGGAAGGCCCGCCTGCCAGCGCAGAAGGAACCCGAGAGGGGAGGCCCGGGACACGGGGGCGGCGGCCCTGTCCCGCCCAGCGCTGCCGTGGGCAGAGTGCCCGGGGCCGCCCTGCTCCTGGAGCCGTCCTCGCTGACGGCCAGCGTGAAGGAAGTGCCCCTGTTCAGGCTGCGCCACTTCCCGTGTGGCACCGTCAACTACGGCTACCAGCAGCAGGGCCTGCCCCTGGAGGCCGCCCCTGCCCCCGGGGCCGGTCACTACGAGGACGCAGCCCTCCAGAGCCAGCCTGGGCCCTGAGCGGGCGCTCGCTGCTTCTCCCGGGGAACCCTGAGCCCATGGAGGGGACGGGCCGCGGCTCCTCCACAAGCCAGACCAAACGTCACTTTTCCTTTTGTGCCAACTTGTTTTGAAGAGCCACATAGAAGCTGTATTTTTCAAATGCTTTGGAGAGGTATTGAGCATGGGTTCATCCTATCATTTCAAAAGAAAAAACTGTCACCAACACAAGTGGGAGGGAGATACGAGGCCCGGATTTGGCTGCATAGGGTTGTCTGCGCAGCTGGACAGGCGTCAGACAGCTGCTCCTGAGGCCGCAGCTGGAGCCAGGGATGCGCCCTGACCTGGGTGCTGTGCCCTGGACCACTGGGGAGTAGTGGGGGGACAAAGAGGAGCCGTGTGTGACGAGTTGGCATGGGAAGGACATTCTCTACTTGGAAATCCATGGACAAGTAACTGAAGCGTCACACGTCAAATGACAGACACTTCCCATTGTGCTGACTCCTTGACAATGGTAACATGTGACAGTGCGGCAGTTTGGAGAAAGCGTGCACGTTCCCACCTGCAGGAGGTCCTTCGAGTGGCCGGGCCCAGCGCAGACGCTCAGCATTCCGTCAGTATACCTCATGCCTTAAGCAAACCTCCCAAAGCGCGCACCTGGTGTGAGGTTTCCCACGGGACTGCGAACCGAAGATCTGAGTCCATCGCTTTAAAACTTCCCACCAAACAGACTCCGATCATGTAAAACTAAAGATCAGAAGCAGCTGTGAAACAGCGAAGCATAGAGACACACCTCTTCTCATGGGCTGATGTCAGTCCGTCTGGGCCAAAACCACCTACATTTGGTCATGAACGCTACCGGGCTGAAGTTCCCACGGTGACAGGCAGGTCTTTGGAGTGAAGGTCTTCGGGGGGCCCTGAGAGGTGCTACTGTGGGACCAGCATCCTTCCTCCCCGTGTTCACCTCCTTTTCTCCCCCGGTCATGTGACCCCGGCACACATGGGAGCAGAGCTGCGTGTGACCCCGGCACACACGCAGCAGCATCTGCACGGCTGTGGAATATAGATTAAAACCAAGCATTTTTCCCTCTGGGGGCCGTGAGTGCAGGAACTAAGGGACATGGAGAGCTGAGGCTGACAGCACATGTCACAAAGTAGGGGTTCTGAGCTTGGTTTTCACAGATAATTTATCTCCACAAAAAACTGACAGACGCACTTAGGCAGCAATGCTTTACTTACCAGGAAGCTCCGATCCCATTGTCTCTGTCCACTCTGCCTCCCTCCTCTTGCCCGGGTCCTCTCCTGGTGACAGCTGTGCCAAAGCCTTGCTACCAGCGGGACTCTGAGCATTCCCAGCAAAAGGACTGTGTACACACCACCTTCCCGACCTCCAGGTTCACCCGCATCTGGAGCATCGCCTTGGACATGGGAAAGCCATTCTGTTCTGACAGCACCAGGCCTCGTTCACCAGGCCTCCCACACAGACAGGCTTCCAGTCCGGCCAGCAGTTCTGAGCATCGGCCGATGCCCTGACCACTTTTCCTTACCTTCTCACCTACATGTTTTCATCGGGCATAGTAAACTCATCTCTAGATAACCACATCAGGAAAGTTGTGGCTCACGCCAGGCGCAAAAGTAAATAGTCTAATTATGTCAACGTCCATGTATCTCACAAACCACCTGAAGGGAGCCGAGAACCGCGCCGAAGGAGGGCGGCAGAGGAACGCCAAAAACTGGACATGTCACTTCGCATCTGTAACCGGTGACCGATTAAACGGGGAGCATGCACACGCCTCCGCAGCCGACTCCTTATTGCTGTTCATGGGGGGAGGGAGGGACCCTACCCCTTTCTCTGCTAAAAACTACAAATCATTACATGTTCAGGCTATGCCCTACTATAATATCCACATCAGTTCAAATTGACAGTCAAGTCTTAAAAGCCTGTGTACACAGCTAAGCAAACGATTCCACAGTGAGACTCGACCGCCTCGCGGCGTTTCAGTGAACTCGCTGTAGGCCGAGGCACCAGCATCGGCACGGCGTTAACCCAGACCTGTGACCCCAGCACTGCCCCAGCCACGTGGCCACCGCGATCCACGCAGAGGCTGTGATGCTCACGTTCACTGTGGGCAGGCGCAACGACGTTTGCAGAGGCCACGTGAACTAAACCATAAGCCAGAATAATTACTTCCATTCCATGTCTATAAAGCAGCTCATCAGAGTTCACAGCCATCCCACTGGGAAACTGGCCGTTAGTGAGGAATGGCCGGCTAATTAAATGAGGCCCCAAAATGAGAGCACATCCAAACAGCGGGGATAGACTTTATTTTCTTACCACCATCTACTTAGTAGTCGAAAGTCTGGAATGCCCTCTGCCCGTTAGGGTGAGTTCTGGCTCCCCTGGGGTGGCTGGACCAGCCTGCACCGCAGTGTCTCCTCTTGAATTGCCCAGTGATTAGGGGCTGGGGGGAGGGGACTACAGAAGCTAGAGTGCCCCTGCCCCCGAGCACTGCAGCTCCAGGGGCCACCAGCGTCCCTGGCTCCTCAGCTGTCCCTTGTTTAATGACAGTAGCAAGAACCCTACCGGAACCAAGTCCTTTCCAGCTCAAAGTATGAATGTAAAACTGTCTGTCACGCTTAGGACTAAGGGTTAAAGCAAGCATCACAGAATGGAAAAGGTTTAGTCAATGGAGTAATACTTTTTTTTTTTTTTTTTTAAATTTCTGGCATCTCCATATGACACTTAGCAAACTCGATAGCTCTAAGATGTTTTATGTGACTGCAGATAACTTTATTCCACTCAGAAAATCTAAGTAATCAGGCTACTTTAATAGCTTTCCCTCAGTAATAGCAGGATTAAAATTCACACCAGCTTTATAGACTAACACAGATGCCTGTGAATTCAGACTCCTCAATAACAGACTCCCACGACAAGACTCATAAAATTGTCTGGAGTGTTGTCAGTCTGTCTTTGGCGGTTTTTTAAATGGGTCCCCCAAAGAACACACAATTTGACTTTGCCAATTTCGTCACAGCAGATGGCTCCCCGTGTTGTGTGAACAGACAAAAACAAAAACCAGCATCTCTGTCATCCTCCACAAAATGCCCTAAAACAAAGACAACTGCTGAGAACAAACGGTGAGGCGTCTGCGTTAAAATGCTATTTTCATTTGGTAGCCTGAGCAGGTGTATTTAACTTTCAAGACACTATTCATTACGAGCTATTTTTAGCTCTAGATTCACAGCTTTAAAACATCGGGAGAATTCAGAGTGAGCACAGACTATTCTTACCTACAACTGAGAGGCGAGAGGAACTGAACCACAAACCAAAGCCACTGGCTGGCCTCTCCCGGGGGCTGAGCAAAGGTAAAACCAGTGCCGCCCGCCCACGACCAGGCGGCACGGCCAGGCTCACCCCAGGAAGCTGCGAGGACCTGCCTGCGTCTGTGTGCCCCTTGTCCACGGACCTAAGGCCCGCTGCCTCCTGAAAGCAGTTATCCGCTGTCACTGCAATCAGCAGGCGCCTATCAGCCGGCTGTAGTCTTAGCAAATGAACTCTCACTAAGCTTTAGCAGCTAATGGATCAGTGCCCTAAGGATATTGACATGTTAAGAAAGGCCATTTCACCCTCACTGGTTTGGCTCAGTGGATAGAGCGTCGGCCTGCAGACTCAAGGGTCCCAGGTTAGATTCTGGTCAAGGGCATGTACCTTGGTTGTGGGCACATCCCCAGTAGGGGAGTGTGCAGGAGGCGACTGATCAATGTTTCTCTCTCATCGATGTTTCTAACTCTCTATCCCTCGCCCTTCCTCGCTGTAAAAAAAAAAATCAATAAAATATATTTAAAAATAAAAGAAAGGCCATTTTCCAATGTAGATGAGTAGTAGGCTGATAAGACTTCACATGAGTATAATATTTTGGGTGGTTTAACACCCATCAGTTACTTGAGAAACATTAAGTGGACTGGGCAGGAGTTAAAAGACACAGGTAGTAGACTGTAATTATCTATCTGTGGAGTGGGGGGGGGGAGGAGGGCAGGAGAAATAGGTTTACAGTTGTTCGTATGGAAAATAATCTATACTAATAAAAGGGTAATATGCTAATTAGACCAAACATCTTCCAGACATCCATCTGGATGTCCTACCCGACAAAGCCATGGTGATCGGAGCCAGGCAGAGGTGGTTAGGATGATCAGGCAAGCAGGGGAGGGCAGTTAGGGGTGACCAGGCTGGCAGAGGAGGGCGATTAAGGGCAATCAGGCCATTAGGGGAGGGCAGTTAAGGGGCAATCAGGCAGGCAGGCAGAGTGGTTAGGGGCGATCAGGCAAGCAGGCAGGTGAGAAGTTAGGAGCTAGCGGTCCTAGATTGCAAGAGGGATGTCCAATTACTGGTTTAGGTCCAATCTCTGTGGGATCAGGCCTAAACCAGCAACTGGATATCCTCTGAGGGGTCCCGGATTAGAGAGGGTACAGGCCAAGCTGAGGCACAAATTTCATGCACTGGGCCTCTAGTAAAATAAATAATAATTCAAGACTAAAATGTGTTTCGAATACTTACAGCTGTAAACCTACTTTTGCCCCACCCTGGTTTTACCATTGCTCAGGCCCCAAGAGAGGACAGTTACTTAAACTCCTACTCTCTCATTTAAAAACATTAGCAGTTTGGTCTCAAAGGCCCCTTCCAACTTGAAGTCTGGGATTCTGCAAGCCTCCTCCTCGGAGAATGTAAATTCCATCCATTCACAAGACATGCCTGGGGTGTATATATGTTCTTGACCTTGACTCTTAAAGCATTTAGAGCCAATTAATTCAGTGCACAATCCCAGGGAGCCCAATTATACTTAATCTTTATACGGAAATGGACCAGAAATTTAGTATTAGATCACTGTTTACTCTTTCTATTCAGAGATTTCTTCAACAAATGATAAAATCGTTACCATAGCAGAATGAGGTTAGTCAGGGTAGATTCCTTCAAGAAGCAGGGCTGACAAGACTGAGACTCCTGTCCATCAATGACCTTCACCCCTTCAGTGGCACACACTTATTTCTCTCTGGTTACACTTGCCACAAGGGCGGCCTTATTATTATCAAAGTAAAATTATAAAATGTACCTTCTGAAGGGTTACCTTTGCCACACCTAGTATTTGATGATAGTTCTGATGCACTTTCTGTCGGCTGTCAGTTTGTACCTCCTGGGGCCCATCCCAAAGCAAAAAAACAGCACCCAGATGAGGAATTCATGAATAACAGAAGCAATTACCACAGAATTGGATAGAACCCCTTTCCAGAT